GTGTTTGACCTTTTTTGGGTGCAGTCCTGTCACTCGAGTTGAACCTTGGTGTCAAAGTTGTACCCTGCTGGCGTGGTGACCAGGGGATTTGGGCACCCAGGAGCACGTGACCACTTGTTCAACCCTGTTCGATTGGGAATAAAGGAGGAACGCTGCATCGCAGCCTTTTCGGACCAAAACCAGTCGACTCAGCGTCCAAAAGACTACAATATATGGGCCAATCGCGGTCATCCGTGCTTTTATAAGAACGAAATGGCGCTTTTAGTGAGATTTTGCATACAAATCCCCATCTAGTAGGGCGCAGTCACCCAGTTTCGGTGGAAGTGCGCGAGTTCGATTGGGATTCAAGTAGGAAGGGAGCGTCTCAGCTTCCTCGGACCACGACCATTCGACTCAGCACCCCGAAGACTACAACTGGTGAAATTTTAATTTTTGCCTTAACTTCCCCTTTAATGACCATGAATGACATGCACCAGCCATCCTACACATATGCGGCCGTGCACCCCTCACCCCACCCCATAAAAGAGGGATCAGCTACACCCCTGACCTGTATACATGCACTTGTGTGTGGCGGCGTTGCTTGCTTGCTTCCAGGTGCGCAGTACATCAACGTATTCCTGGCTACCCATCGCCCTTTCCTGTCTCCATCGGCACTCCTCGACATGCTACTCAGCCGAGAGGCACATTTCAAGAACATTGACACCCCGGACGGCCGCAAGTCCCGCCAACAAACCCTGTTCCTTATTCTCCGCATTGTACCGCTGTTGAGAATGTAAGTGGAGAAGATTCATAAGTCGTGTTCAACAACTAACGTATGGTGCGTGGAAAGATAGACAATTGATCGATAATATTATGACTCGTTTCCTGCTAACGCTGCTGCTACCTTCACCAACATCAGCACCACTGCTGCTGCTGTTGCCTCTGCCACCGCTACCGCTGCTGCTTCCGTTGCCGCATTGCCGGTGCTGTGACCGATGCTGCCAATGTTGCTGCTGCTGCTGCTGCCGCCAATGCTGCTGCTGCCAATGCTGCTGCTGCCAATGCTGCTGCTGCTACCGCTGCTGCTTCCTTTGCCCCATTGCCGGTTCTGTGACCGATGCTGCTGCTGCTGCTGCCAATGCTGCTGCTGCCAATGCTGATGCTGATGATGCCAATGTCTCTGCCAGCGCTGTTGTACAGTGCACACTTTCCTATTTTTGCAGTGTTTCGCGATTTGCATTGCTCTTTGTAAGTGCTTGTGTACATCTGTGTGTACGTTCGTCCGTGAGTGCATGTTGGTGTGTGCATGGGTGTGTGTTTGTGTATGTGTGTATGTGTGTGTGTGTGAGCTTGTGTGTGTGTGCGTGTCCATGCGTGTGCATGTTTCAATTGTTTGTTCTACTAACAGGAAGCGTTACCAGCTGGACGGCACCGAGATACCCAGTGAACTGGAGAGCAACGTGCTCAACAAGCTACAGAAAACTGTCTACAACCTCATCTGCTTTGGACAACTCCAACTGGCGCTCATGCTGCGGAACTCGCTGATTAAAAAGGTACAGTGAATTCTGTCGGAGACGACCGGTCGAGGGACATTCATTATGTGATCTCCGTGTACAGGTGGTCTCCTTATCCAGGGTCATTTGACTGGAAATACCATCGCTTGGTCGAAGTTGTCGTGGTCCTCAAGGACAGGTGGTCACCTTATCAGAGTGGTCACCTTCACAAGTTCCACTGTATTGTTGGATGCAATACTGCCAGACGCCAAAGAACGGAGCGCCGAAGAACGGAGCGCCGAAGAACGGCCAGGCTAGAGTTTCACCAAGCACAGCATACCGATGTATATACACTGATTCAACTGTGCATGGACTGTACTACATCTAAATAAGAACAGTCTAGTATAGTTAAGTGGTCAAACTAACGGTGATCAACAGGGTACATGCCTGTATTTAGTGACAATAAAACATGGGTGCGGCTTACTCTGGAAAAGACGGTAAATTTCAATTATGAAGTAAATCTAACGTTTTTTAATGAGTGACATTTCTTCATTTTGTTGAGGCTGTAAGACCTCAGATGTGTTATGTGCGAATACGCCTGAAGACTGCAAGGTCGTTGACGTATCTTCTCGTTAATCTATGGATTTTGGACAATTGTTAAATTTGTAACTCGTTGCAATAGCATGTCCTACAGTATGCTGCTATTCGTGTGCTTTTTCTCTGCGTACTGTATCTGTAGGTACTCACACCCATCCGGAAAGATGCCTTGGATCTGGTACTGGTCCAGACAAAAGGCATGAAGCCACCGGATGGATCTCTGCGGTAAGGGATGATGTTGTATTATGTCATTAGTTTCTCACCGCAGGGTGTACCCAGTGATTATGCACGCGAATCGATTCACGAATCGATTCATGAATCGATTCGCGCTATTCACATCACCCCATGTGAATAGAGTGAATGGATTCCGAATGGATTCCAGGGCTCATGACATGAAATCGAACGACTTGAATGCACTTGAATCGATTCATGAATCGATTCAAGTGTGTAATCGAACGCACTCACTGTGCTGACAGTGCTCAACACCGCGGAGGCAGAGCGTAATACAGATGATTGCAAGAGCATGAAACTTGAAGTCGCAGCGAACAAGCCTTGATTGTCCTTGTTGTTCTGTTCTGTATACGTTCTCATACTGGAAAACCGGGAATTTTCGGTGTACTTCTATTTTTGGTACTTTCGGTGCATCCGTTTCATACCTAAAATGTCAATACACCGCACAGACACTAACACACTCTGTACCTATAGAGGACTTTCCAATGAGTCATACCGTGCGGCCGTTGAGGATTCGGGCCAAAGATCATCGAGTTCACCACCGATCACCGGACTTGAAACGGAGCTTGGGTGGCAAAAAAAAGAAGACTGCACTGGAAAGAAACAGTGTTTTTCGAAAGAAGTTCCATTTTGCATACTGTAGTTTGAGAATACCAAAGGGCTGCTCGCGATCGGATGTTCCCACACCTGGATCGTCTTTGAGTTGTTATCGTTTTCCCTACGATGGAGAACGACGGAACCAGTGGATGACGGACACACGACTCGAGAACTTCGCTCCTTATGCAAATACTTCGAAGTACACGAATATTGTTCCATCACTTCGTTGGCGAAGAGAAAAGTCATGATCATCCCTGTCACCCCAGTACGTATCGAATTAACTAACTGACTTGTTCAGCTCATTTGTGGCAGCACCAGTAAAGGCGGAAACACGAAGATGATTCCGAACACTATCAACTTACTTAGTTTGTTGGGGTGCAAGGTATAGCTGGAGTTTGATGATTGATAGTGCTGATGCTGATGGTAATGACTAATGTACCCAGCTCTATTATGCACGTGCCTCTACATGACTGGTGGTGCTAGCTATAGTCTAGTACTGGCTAGCTATAGTCTAGTACTGGCCCTGGGTGCAACTCCGGCATTATCTCTTCCATGCGAGTGTGTATGCTTCATGTTCTGCACAATGTGTATTTCCTTTGTCATGGATAAAATAATACCGGTACTCTGATCGACCTACTTGCGCAATCTTCTTCTGCTTCCCACTTGGTTGCTGCGCTGTGCAGTTCTTCATCTGCTGCGGCACATACTGGTATACCTCATCTTCTGTCTTTCTGGACAATAGACCAATCCCGAAAAGATTGTCTGGGTTCGTGAAAGGGGGCACGCGTGCAAGCCAGCAAGTGTGAAGTCCATCGTTTTGTATTCAGTTTGTGTGTGTCAGCTCATGGCGGAGGAGAGAGAGACTTTTGCTCGCCGAGCTGAAGCTAGAGGATTTGATGGAGTCCTGCCAGCAGCTAGTCAAAGGACCTTCGGTACCTTAGGCAGACCCTGACGGAGTTTGGAGGCTAGATAGCTCTCGGTGAGGAGAGAAACATTCGCTTGGCGATCGACTCTCCGTAAAAAATGCAAGCTACGTAACATAGCGCCGACATACTGCAACAGCTACGATTTCAGCTGACTTCTCGATCTGCTGCTTCACAAAGTTCAACTATTTACAAGTCCTGACTGTTGTAGTCTGAAGCTGGAGTCTCATCGCCCACCTACAGGTAGCTTTTGGAGCTGATGGATTTCCCGACTTGGACTCCTTCCGCAAACTCTCGCAACATTACTACAGTGTATGCTGTGTTTCCGCACGCTCGTGTCGACATGTCACCTATACTGTACATGTACCGGGTCGCGGAGGAGCTTGACGACCTCCGCTGACTCCAAGTTTCCGAAATACTGTCGTCGTCTTCGGTGATGTCGCTGGTGACATTCTCCCCTTGCAGGACGTGCACATAGTTGTCGTCCCAGGGGTAAAGACTATGTTGTCTTTCGAAATAGTTCTTCATCACGCTCGCGCGAATGATGTTTCTCATCATGAACTCGTTCCGACGGTGTGACACGGCGATGGTCTTTGGCGGGGCACTGGCTTGGCGAAAACGATATCAGGCTTCTTGTGCAATATAACATTGATCGGCTGCAGATGAGTACAGTCACTTCGTGGTTGATCCTATAGGAGGGCAGCTGCCAGGAAAGAGGCAGGACTCATCGAAGACGAAGCGCTCGCAACAAACAATAGCACTCGAAACATCTCGTAAGATTTAGGGGCCTATCGCTTTGAGCCACAGCGCTCACAGCCTTGCCTACTTCATCAAAGTGAGCTCTACATGTTCGTTGACCTCTTCACACTACACAGAAGAGCGAAACAAGGATTATGTCTTAGCATTTCCACTCCAACAGCAGACCATTACCAGTGCGAGAGAGAAAACTACAAAGGGCTTTGCTTTCTGTCGCATCGTCTCTCTTGCATGCAACTAACGAGAAAACCGTGTACTTACCCTCGCAGTCACACGCGAACTATCAAACACGTCCTGTGCCGCATGCTGATCAGGTAGTGCCATGTATGTGTTGTACAGTGTACTCTCAGTTGACATGCCCCCTTTCGAACCCAGACAATCTTTTCGGGATTGGTCTATTAGGTACATGTATTCAGCTTCTTGATCTTCTTGTGGTGAGGATCATCTTGATCTTACTTCTTGTGTAACTCTTGCAAAGGCAGTAATGGAGGACACTCTACCGGTAATCAGCAACTGCTTATGGAGAATGCCAGGTCGAGGGACGACCAGGAAAAAACAATTGCTGTATTGGATGTGCATTCATCAGCGTGTTTTAGGATCAGGACAACTAAGTTCGCCACTACACCAACTTTTTGGCTACATAGGACCAATGATGATGATGGCCGTGTTTGACTTTGTCAGCTTTCGTGCTACCAGCCACCGCATGTCAACATTGTCATACTCGTACTGATAAGGAAGAAAAACCCACACACGCACGCACACACACGCACACACACACACACACACATGGATACACTGACAGGCATGCAAAGAGAGAGACAGAGAGAGAGTCAGGCAGCGAAAGAGAAGTGAGACTACTTGTAGGTTATGGGCACGGTGCTCCAATTTCTGCCCAGCTGAAGTAAAATCCATGTACACTATTTTCGTGTAGTGTTCATTGACGGTGCCAGCCACTGGTGAGTGACCCAGTGGTGTAGGTGTTGACATTCAGCACACATCACATTTCAGTCTCCAACGTAAATTCAGTCAAAACAACACTGCACTGCAGCAACATGGGAGCATGCTTCTCCCAGGCCCACCATGCAAGTGCAGTGTGCGCCAAAAAACAATTCCAGGTAATTCAGCAGCTACCCAAGGATGGACAGGTTCGGCAAAAACACTCTGCGAGTGCCTGACGTTTGCAAACGAATTTTGTTGACAGTTGTTGTTTCTTCCTTCGATTGGGCAAGACACGATAATGTGCCAACCCAGTCAGCAATGAGACACATACATTTGTATCCATCAGGGCTATTGTAAGACTTTAGAGAGTCCTTTGCATATGTGCTGGGGACATTCACTAAATATTTAGAGAGGCCTGGATACCCAACGCAGGGGGATTGGCTGAAAGGTCTTCGTCCATAGGTAAATATGGATCAATGTACTGGGCCCACGGATTCTGTCAATCTTCTCGCGGCAACGCCTCTTCAAGGCTGGAATAAACAGTAGAGTAACTGCGGCTAGTAATCCTCGCGACTTACCGAAACTATTCACCACATCAAAGAAAAGCAAAAGTGCTTCACCACTGCGGCGGCCTGCAACATCATTTTCAACCGTACACCGAACAACACATTTGATTCTCTTTTTGCCACCCAAGCACATTTTACCGTAGGACACGGACTTGTCTTATGGGTGATCTTTGGGTGGACACCGGGAAGGCGCCAAAAAGGTGATGTAATGGAAAGTCCTCTATAGGGAACTGCTTCTCTGTACCTAAAAATTTCTGTTCACCTAACCTGGCCTTTTGCTCTCATTCTGAAAATGTTGAGCACGTAAAAATTCTGAAATTTGATTTTATCACAGAGAAAAGGACTACAGCAACTGGCAAGGCGAACTACGAGTGACTCGTGACTCGTTGTGTGCACTATCCTAGTCTTGTTATAACCTGTGCATTCTATGCCACTCTGCTTGTCAGGAGTGCTCTCATGAAGTTTTCCGCTAAGCAAGTGGCCATGCAGATTACGCTGATTGACGACATTTTCGTCCAAGGAATAGATGTAAGTGCCACGGTATAGCCTGTGTTTGTCGTACTCTGTGCCAAGCGGGAATCCTGTATTGACCGGAACGTTTCCATGCATCACTAAGTGCTGTGGATCGAACGTGCATCCCCGGATCCAGCGGACGGTCCCTATCATATGAGGATGGTTTCTGCTGTACCAAGGGTGTCCGCTTAGGGCAGGTTTACTGTGCAAATGTAAGATTTTGTAGTAGGTTAGGGTGGGTTTGCCTTAGAATCCATTTCTGGCGGATCTTTCTGAGATTAGCAAAGTTTAGTCAAAAGTGAAAAATGGATGAGTGTTAGTAGTGTATGTGTGTGTACTCGTGTGCACTCGTGTGTACACGTGTGTACACGTGTGTACACGTGTGTACACGTGTGTACACGTGTTTGCAGGTGGGAGTAGGTGTGGTATGCGATCAGGGATGCATATCAACCCAACGGCTCCAGTTGCACAACTGCAACAAATGGATTCAAGAAAAGTCCAGGAAATCTCGCCAGGGCGGCGTCACGGGGAAGCAGCACCTCAGCTAACCTCTGCATGTCTGTCGGCCCCTCACACGAGGGGACACGTGACCGTAAACGGCAATGTTGTTCAGGACAGGACAGGAGTAGATGTAGGCCTTCTTTTTGTGCCTGCATTTTGCGGACTTGCATTGAATACAGTGGCATCGTTCCAATTATTTTCCCTGTGTGTTAAGAAACAAGAAATGCTGCTTTACTCGCGCAAGCAGGAGAGCAAAGACGTTCCAACGTGGGACTCCTACACTCAACATACCAACCGTGTACCCGCGTGGTAAGATAGTTCCTCCGTGCTTGCAGTTCGGATTGATGATCCATGCTGAATACTTTATCGTCTTCTTGTGGTTCAGAATATTTCATGAAAAAAAGCACTCCTTCGCCACTGACAGCCTATTTGGTCTAGTAACAACGCCGCCGCCATCATACACGGTAGCCACAGTGCTTACACACACCTAAGGAGGATTTAATCTGACTTTTCTTAATAATGTGCACAAGCACCAACTGCAGCCACTTCATTAAATGGAAAACCTTACACACACCATCTTCAATCCAAGTGGTCTCTTCACTGCAAATTACAATAATTCTGAACCTGACTTTGTACTTTCTCTCGACCGTGCTGTGCTGTGTTCTTGTGTGTCTCACCGTCAGGCTTGTGACGCGGATATTCGAGTCACCAAAGCAGCGTGATCGCGACAAGTACTTCAAATTCCTCCTCAAGATTCTGAACGTAAGCGAATGTCAACAGTGAAACATCTAATGTTAGGTGTATTAAAATTTCGGTGTCAGGGACCTGTCAGGTTTCAGGTGAAATGTGAAATAAAGTGACCAGCCTACCCTTCGTATACAGTGAATACTCTAGTGCCTCTTTAGGTGTGATCTAAATTTAGGTGCTTGGTTTCTAAAGTTACACCGAAATAAACGTGTTCTACAGTACTGCCGAAGCCAAGCTGCTGTAACTGCTGCAATGCCCGGTCTAGCTCTGTCTGACTCGAGGTTGTTTCACTTGCACGAATGTGTTAACTCTGAACTGATATGTTCAGCAAACGGACGCGAGAGAGAATGATAGGATCCAGCCAGACTGCTCCACAGCGGAGAAATTACTCACCTCTTGCTGTTTTTTGCCACCTCTTTTTTTCCATATTTGGAAGATCAAACTAGACGCGTGTGAACCTACAAACATAAGATTCCCAAGCACATAATATCTTGACCACCCAGCCACCAGGCTGTTGATAACCTGAATTCGCTATACATGGGATAGTACTCAGAAAAAGGACACGCTTCACTTCTCACACTTTCACCTGACGACAAGGCTTGAAAGCATACTAGTGAAACTGAAAACGTCCAAGATGTTCTTAAAAAGAGCCTGAACTGTGTCCTTTTTCTGAGTACTATCACGTTCTCGTCTCCGAGGAAACGGTCTCTATACATGGCGTAACATAAAGATGAGAATGATGGTGTTTTAGAAAGCATGAGGCACAGAGCGTGTGTGTTGTTGTCGTGTGTCCTTGCCGCAGGCGTTGATGAAGCTTGGCAATGTGTCCACGGCCATGCAAACATACTGTATGATGAAGAACAGATGTGTGGAGCGCCTATGGTGGGGCTTTTCATATGATGAGGTGAGATGCGGAGAAACTCTACCGCTCGTACGGGCAAAAAGAGCTTCTATTGCTTTCGGATTCCTCTAAAACAGAGAGGTTCCAAGCTGTCGAATAGAATGCTCGATGCCGAAAGGCAGAGCTAATTCCAACAATAATAAGAGGATGAAAAAGGTGTTGTTACTCCGAGTTTCATGCGCTAAGCGATCATCAGAAAACAGTAATGAGAAAAAATCCGGGTACTGGTTTATACCTTTGTGCTTTCGGATTCCACTGTAAAACACGAGAGAACGTGTGCTGAGAAAATAAACGATGTGGTCGCAGAACCGTATGGTTGTACCTAGCTTTACTCCAGTGTACAATGGCACAACTTAACAGATGCAGTCGACTCCTGATAGAACGAACACCGTTGTGCAGGAGAATCAGTTCTGCATAGCCGAACTGTTCGTTATAACAGAAATGCACCATACATGTACATGTACAGGAAGCAAGTCATGACTGGCATGTGGGCCATGACAGAATGAGAGCGCTTGGTTTACCTGTGCTCTGGCCCTTCAAGATATGGTTCGTTATTAACGAAAAGGGTTGGCTACAAAGGGTTCATTTTGTGTGGGCTCAAAAAAGGACATGGACAATGGCTCGCTATAGTGACGAAATTTGTTGTATTATGGGAGTTTGTTATAAGTGGAGTCGACTGTACCTAACTTATCAACTGTGAGCAGGAATTTCAGGAAAAATTCCAATTCATAATTTAAGCTAGCTTGGAGAGTGGAGCCCGGGTAGCAAGCTTGCCAACGATACCAAGTTTATCACAATCGGTCGGGGCAGTCCAAAGTTAGACATTTTGTCTACCCCCCTCCCCGAAATGGATATCTTTTTCTATGGCAATCAAATGGGAAATTGGCCCTAGACATCTGTGATAGACATAAGCCTCTTGTACGGGCAAAGCAAATGTGCTTACATAATATTATGACAGAAAATCTCAATACCAAAAAATGAACAAAACGTCAAGAATCTGAAGAAAGAAAAAACTCAATCCAATTCTTTGTTGCCATAACCCAACACAAATCTGAGAAGATGGCAGTTGGCGGTCACGCGGCAACAAAATCACCAAACGTAAGCACTAACAATGTTGAAACATGGTTGCAGGAGACAAACTACAAGTAAGCAAGCAACGCATACAACGATGCAATCAGACAACGAGAGAGCTTGGAAGCTCAGGGCCCTACGCTATGCTTTTATGCTTTTTTGCCTAGCTCATCGTACATGTTATAAGAACTGATGGAATTGTCTTTTTCCGTTCATTGGCCACATCACTGTATTGCAAAAACGTTTCAATCGGTTTGAATATTATGAGTTAGGCAAAAGTATTTGCAGAATTTATTGCGGATTGTTGTTTCTCTAATAATCATCTACTTTTGTTTTGCTCCTTCTTTAATTTTTATCTCCTTATATTGTAAATCAACAAATTTTGGCCGATGAGAAAATCAGAAACCTCTCGATTAGAGAGGTTAAGATGCACGTTATTTCCGACGTGACGCGCAGTTTCACGTCAAATTTGAAATCGATCGGTATTTTTGCTCTCACATGCATCCATTGCTCAATCATGCATCATTTGCCTATATGACAAACGTTGGCCTGCGATTTACTTTGTCCGGTTGGTACCAAGCGGCGAAATCAGCGAAATTAAATCGCCAGCGAACATTAGTTGATTTTAATACAGGAATCGGATTTTCTGGCCTTTTTGTAGTAATACATCTACATTGACCTGTTGAGCCAATGACGACGCCGAATGCATGGTTGCCTGAGGAGCACATTACATAACTTTACAGTCTCCTAAAATACGTATCCTGTCCGACGGCAAAAGAGGCTGCAGATTTAGTTTTTCTGCGCGTCGACGGGATGTCTGCGACGCGAAAGTTCAGCTCGCGTTATTTGGCTCGCACGTCGAAAAAATCAACGCGAGTGACCTGCTGCTCACGTCGAAATTTGGACATTACATAACTTTACAGTCTCCTATATAAATACGTATCCTGTTCGACGGCAAAAGAGGCTGCAGATTTAGTTTTTCTGCGCGTCGACGGGATGTCTGTCCTGACGTTTACTGGGACCGGCGCTGACTCTGCCGATCACGGCGTTCTGGACTCGACGGGATGTCTGTCCTGACGTTTCCTGGGACCGGCTTAGACTCTGCCGATCACGGGCGTTCTGGACTCAACGGGATGTCTGTCCTGACGTTGCCTGGCACCGCCGGACTCTACCGACCACGGGCGTTCTGGAGTCGACGGGATCTCTCTTCCGACGTTTCCTGTGACCGGCACTGAATCGCTCGTTCACGCTTATTTTGGAGACGACGGGATCTCTCTTCCAAAGTATGTTTATGCTGACGCATCCTATCACCTTATCGGCGTCTATTCTAATTTAATTTCCTCCTCGTCTCCCTATTTCTTTCCAAATCCCACTCTACATCAGGGAGTCGTATGCATAATACGACGAATATTGGTACGGTACGGGACAGATACAGGAGCCCGCAAATATTGTGGACAGCTGTTATGTACAATCCTGTAGAGCCTTTGTAGTCACAGATACGGGACAGATACGGGACAGATACGGGATAGCGCCAGGCGTGACATAAACAAACAAACAAACAAACACACAAACAAACAAATACCAAATTAAAGCTGTGTGGACCCTGGCTAGCGCCAGACGTTACTGAAGTAACGTCTTCTGCATAGCTACGGGAATTAAAACACGTTTAATACCGTCTAGGCCACTGACCTGGACAGGCAGTGGTGCAAGAAGCCGTGGTCTCGCCTACGGCCATACGAACCCCAAACATCTGTGATGGGCATTGTGACCAAAAGATTCTAACACCAGACAAGAGAAAATCATGCACAACGAAAAATCACCCGAGACGGAGGATCGTTGCAGGTGCAGGCCATTTGAGGGTTTTGGGGCAGCTCTTATTTACGGTATACCTGGCTGCATTGGAGTCTGAGAGCAATAGACCGATCCCCTTATTATTGTCTGGGTTCGAGCAAGGGGGCAGCTCCGCAGTCGCGTGGGATCCTGCTGCACACACGCGACCAACCTCACCTCGGCTGTGCGTGACTTCTCGCATGCGAAGTGCAGAGCACGCGAAATCTACACGCAGTGCAAGCCTGTCTACAAAAATGCCACAAGGACTTTTGATTTGAGCTGTTTTGTTTTTGTTTAGATCTTCCTTTTTACGACTCCAGGATGCCTTTTCAGGATCATTGCTGCGTTCCTCACTGTCAGAACAGGAGGACGAAGCAAACAAGTCATTTCACTCCTTTCCTCGTGTGGAGCCACAGCGGCCTGGAGCAAGCGGATCCAGGCTATTCCCCGTGAGGAAGGATGTAGTTTTAGGGTCACTCTGAATATTTGAGTTGCAGCGATCATTTCGATCCCGAAGTCGAAATCGTTTTGCCCAGCTCTACAAGGGCAGGATGAGTCCAGGAAACCAAACAGCTGTCCTACGGTACCAGGTTTGCTTTTCGCAAGAGAGTGGAGTCTGGACGCTCTGCTCCCCATGCTCGCAAACAGTATTTGCTGAGCCTAGTGCAGTTCGGTCATGGAAGTGCAGCGTCTGCATCACGAGCTCCCCATGCTCGCAAACCAGTATTTTGCTGAGAGGCAACGGCAATTTAAGTTGGAAAGGAACCTGGCGTAGTGCAGTTTGGTCCTGTAATGGAAGTGCAGCTTCTGCATCAGGAGTTGGCAGCAAGTAGAGCTCGTGTACAGAGTCTCGTGGAGCAGTTGGACGATGGGGTGAAGAAAGCCTAAAAACAGCTTACGTACAATAACATAAAGAAAGACCCCTGAGCCGCTCCAGTTTCTGACTGGTTTGCCTTCAGGTGTTTGGACCGCTCTGTGGGACTTCTTTGAGCCTAGCCGAGAAAATGTACTGCGCCGAGCCAGATCTGCGAAGACGGAAGCTGAGGGACGGCGGATACAGTTGGAGGTGGCCGTAAATCGCCAATGAGCATGTAATGGAGGATCAGCTGCTATTGGCATTGATGTGTCTAAGCCTGGGCCGAATGGAACAGAAGCTGTCATGCGTGGCACAAGTTAATCATCCGTTTCACGGTATATACTATATAACTAGCTGAGCTGGAAAGATGTCTTGTTCCTCCGTTTGGGCATGATCCCCATTTGGGCGAGCTGGCGAGATGTTCAGTCATCAATGCCATGTACCGCAAGACATTCTGCATTGTGGATGAAACAGTTCTATTTTGCCATGCACTTAGGGTTCTCGCACCGGCTTAACAAGACCCAACAGATCCTTGCGCTCTTATTTTCTCCCATGGTAACATTGCTGATCACAACACCCGGTAGCCAGTCGCAGATGCAACCAAATCAACCAGGTTCTCTTACTCTTTTTTTCCCAATACTGACACCAAAGGTATACCAATATTTGCATCGAATGCAGTGATGATTTCAATACTGTCCACTAGTACAACGCATTACCAGACTGGCATATAATCATGATAATATTATCCATTTCGCAATCGCTGTCATTGCTTTCTTAGATCTTCAATGATCAATATCGGACCAAAACCGTCTATCATCTTATATCATCGTTAGTATCCTGCTACTATCCTCCTCTAACGATGAGCTCGAAGAAAAGAACCAGCGGTCTAGAGGCGTAAACAATATCTGTCAACGGAAGTGTCCTTGCTGTGCTGGTGTGTTTATGCTTCGTGCATTAGTTCGGCCAAGAGCGCATGGTGGTGGCGGGTTGAGGATGTTAAATATACTAGAAAATAGTTCACTCTGAACATGCAGGGGGGTATATTCATAGGTTCGAAAGAACCGCACACACACTTTGCTGCAGACAGCGTCAAGCTTTGGCCCTCGTGCTTCGAAGAGGGAGCAATCCACTGCGCTACGCTTGCGATTAACAGCAAGCTTCGACTTTTCAAAGGTACGACTCATCATTGGCTCTGGGGTAATGTTCCTGGAACAAATGCCCCGTTGCCAACTGAGGGCCAGGGAGCACGCAATCTGCCTTCCTGGGCGAGAAGTGTTCCAGCACAAGAAGCAGCACGAATACATGCTGACAAAGACCACCATCACCACCAGCCGGCACACAGCACACTGTTCTTCAAACACCATCCACTCCGTCCATGTGTTTGCACTGTCCTCCTCTAGCTCTTCGCGCTCAACAAATACCACGCACTGCTCATCGTTTTTGTTATGCTTCCTCTGGGTTGGCTAGCCCTTCGACTTGACAAAACAGCGATCACCACTGCACTGCTATCGTCACCTCATAGCAGTCGCTTCCACCAGTGGCTTTTCCTGTCTTTGCAAGGTGTCCAAGGATGGCTGCTGTTGTCACTACAGGCAAATCAGAAGTACTTAAGTGGCTGATGTCCAACCAGATCGTTGGAAAATCGATTTTTCCACTTCAGGGCTGCTGATCGCGACTTGGTGACTTGGCAGCACCACGGTTACCTTCATAGAAGATGGCTCTGGAGAGGAAAAGACAGACCAGAAAAAGGTTACTATTATCTTCAGCACCGATCGCAAGGAGAAAGAAATATGGTCTGCTGTAGCCTAGGCACAAAATAAATCTCACACACGATTCGCGATTCGAATATTTCAACAACAAAAAAACTCACCTCTGGGGTAACTCCTGTTTGTGGCCCGAGATCGTTCCCTCCCGCGCCTTGAAAAATCCTGCAGCGGCATCACAGTCCATGTCTCTCTCGGAGACTCTGCTCCTACCAGCAGGAGGTTTAGCACCGCTCGAAGCCATCGCAAACTACTTGAACTAAGCAGAAGACATTCCAAAACAAACCTGAAACACACTGTCAAAGATGCTGTCACGTTCAAAAACTAGCTCGATCGCGAGTGAGGTTGCCCATGCCCCCGTGCTCGAACCCAGTATAATAAGGGGATCGGTCTATTCTAAAAATGCGCGCAGACTGATCTAAAAGACAATGCTTGTTGCCGCGTAATGTTTGCTGTTCAGAAATTGTCGATAGGTTAAAATGTACATGTACATGTGTGCATCATTTTGACCCTAGTTGTTGTCCAGTGTAGTGAAATGCCCTTCATGTTTTCTCTCTCTCTCTCTCTCTCTCCCCCCCCCCCTCCCTCCCTCCCCCTCCTCCTCCCTCCCCTTATGACATGCAGTTGATGGAGAAGAACACTCTTAGCAAGCTGATCGACACCAGCAGAAGTTTTCAGAACTACCGCAACCACATCAAAGAAGCCATGAAGGAAAAAAAACCCGTCATGTTGTTCCTGTAAGTCATAAATCTACAACTTAGTAGTATGAATTTCTCTTGCCACTGAAACTTTTTAAAAGTGGCTTGTTCAGGACAAAAAAAAGAAGAAGAAGAAAATGGCGACAAGTAGAGAGGATGTCTTATGTCTTTGACATGCTGCCATTCTTTTGAAAAAAAAAGTTTTTTCTGTGTGTTTGCCGTTTGGCAAGGCCAGTACGGCATGTGTGCAGCCTACTGCACTAGGCTGGCGTCTGCACTCCCCTAAAGAGGAGGATTGTTGAACGACGCAGGTCTCCAATCACATCACATCACCATCACTCAGTGTTGCACCGGCTGGGCATACATGGCGGTCGAGACCACAGGTCGACTAAGTGTGCTGAGCCCCACCACCATGACACTCATTACAAGATGGTTGGAGTATGGAAGTTCGTAAAAAAAAATAAAAAAAACATGCCAGGCATTTTGAAACAGTTTGTCGTCGTGTTATCAGAATGAAACATTGCTTCAAGTCTTTGTTGCTGGATGTGCTTGAAGTCGTACAGATGATTTTTTTACCAGTTAGTACTGGTGTGCGTGCGTGTGTGTGTGCGTGTGCGTGTGTGTGTGTGTGTGTGTGTGTGTGTGTGTGTGTGTGTGTGCATGTATGTGTGCGTGCGTGTGTGTGTATGTGCGTACGCGCGTGTGCGGCTGTGGGTGCACATGCCTGTGTGTATATGCTGCTGCGCAGAACGCGTATGATGGGTGACCTGACACTGACCAACCAAAACGAAAAGTACTTGCACACGGGAAACCCAGCTGAGGACGGCAAGTACTTGAACTATTGCAAGCAGCTTCGGCAGTTCAGTATCTTGTCTCAGTTCCAGAAATCGCGACTCCTGTAAGTCCTACCTACACTAGCGGCTATTTGAGTTTGAGTTGTTGCGGTTGCGTAACCCGACTTTCCAAGAAAGGTCGTTCCCCTTCTTCTGGGTTTTAGCCGGTGTGGAGAAGGGGGAGGGGGGGGGGGGGGAGGGAGGGATGAAACGGGAGGAAAAGGGGTTATGTATTTGAAGTACAGTAAAATCTGTCAAGGTAACCAACCACTCTGACAAGGCGATCACCACCTGTCCTAGAGGACCCGCAGTACCTCTAGGACCAAGGGATATTATTTCCAGTCAACTATTGACCGTGGATAAGAGGACTACTTGTACACGAGGTCCGCATTAGTAAAGTTCCTTGAAGGGTCGACTGAGACAAGTTTTCACTGTAGCTCTCAACTATCCCTTGTCTAGATGTCTGGTGTGTTTCGTATTGTATTGTATTTTATTATTTTACTTGGGCATTCCCAACAGACCCTAAGGTCTTCTTACAGGGTGCCCAAATCTGGTATCAGACCACAGTATTGAAACATTGTTTGAAAGAAAATTGGAGGAATCACCCTTGTTCCTAGTGGTGCAAAAACCAGTCGCTCTATGCCCCCTCCTGCTGCTTCTGCTGTAGCTACGGCTGGTGATACTGCCACTGTTGTCGCTCTGGTGGCTGTTGCGACTGCTGCTGCTGCTGCTGCTGCTGCTGCTGCTGCTGCTGCTGCTGCTGCTGCTGCTGCTGCTGGTACTACGTGTATAGTGTTTGTTCTGAGAAGAACACTGATTGTCATTGATTGTGCTCACGGTTGTACTCAGGCCTTTGTTTGCTGTTGTTACCATGTTGAATACTGCTGCTGCTGCAGGGACTACACATCGAAATATGGGGACAAGAAGAACCTGGAGATCTGGAGTATATTCGACGGCTTCAGAGACGTCATGAACATGGATGTAAGTCAGCTGCTGTGACTGAAGGGAGTGAACTTTCGGACTAACTCAGTGCAAAATCCAGAGCGGCATAAACGTTGCTGACTTTTTGACGGCTGAACATCAACACACAATCCCTATATTATCATGAGTAGCAATAACATATTAGAGAGGTTCTGCTACACGGAACTACGTACCAAACTCCGTGTCAACTGCAGTGAAGTTTGACACGGATTTTTCGTACGTTGCACCGGTTCTGCTGTACGTAGCATGCTCGAACCAGGGAGTAGTACTACTCCCTGGTTCGAACCATGCACGAACACCCCGCCACACATATGTACATGTACTCTGTACGCTCACTTTTCACACGGAGTCCGGTCCGTGTGAAGCGCGCTTCACAAGGAAAACGGTATGACAAAATCCGTATCAAACTAAATCCCGTACCGCGGTGAAGTTTCCATACGTACTTTGGCACGTTTTACCGTGTGGCAGAACCTCACTATTACTTTACCTCCACGCATCATGCGTTGCACAGTAGTATTATAAGTACTTATTGTGTCAATGCATATTGTAGTATTATAAGTACTTATTGTGTCAATGCATATTGTAGTGTTATAAGTACTTATTGTGTCAATGCATATTGTAGTGTTATAAGTACTTATTGTGTCAATGCATATTGTAGTGTTATAAGTACTTATTGTGTCAATGCATATTGTAGTATTATAAGTACTTATTGTGTCAATGCATATTGTAGTGTTATAAGTACTTATTGTGTCAATGCATATTGTAGTGTTATAAGTACTTATTGTGTCAATGCATATTGTAGTATTATAAGTACTTATTGTGTCAATGCATATTGTAGTGTTATAAGTACTTATTGTGTCAATGCATATTGTAGTGTTATAAGTACTTATTGTGTCAATGCATATTGTAGTATTATAAGTACTTATTGTGTCAATGCATATTGTAGTGTTATAAGTACTTATTGTGTCAATGCATATTGTAGTATTATAAGTACTTATTGTGTCAATGCATATTGTAGTGTTATAAGTACTTATTGTGTCAATGCATATTGTAGTGTTATAAGTACTTATTGTGTCAATGCATATTGTAGTATTATAAGTACTTATTGTGTCAATGCATATTGTAGTGTTATAAGTACTTATTGTGTCAATGCATATTGTAGTGTTATAAGTACTTATTGTGTCAATGCATATTGTAGTGTTATAAGTACTTATTGTGTCAATGCATATTGTAGTGTTATAAGTACTTATTGTGTCAATGCATATTGTAGTGTTATAAGTACTTATTGTGTCAATGCATATTGTAGTATTATAAGTACTTATTGTGTCAATGCATATTGTAGTGTTATAACTTATAAGTACTTATTGTGTCAATGCATATTGTAGTATTATAAGTACTTATTGTGTCAATGCATATTGTAGTGTTATAAGTACTTATTGTGTCAATGCATATTGTAGTGTTATAAGTACTTATTGTGTCAATGCATATTGTAGTATTATAAGTACTTATTGTGTCAATGCATATTGTAGTGTTATAAGTACTTATTGTGTCAATGCATATTGTAGTGTTATAAGTACTTATTGTGTCAATGCATATTGTAGTGTTATAAGTACTTATTGTGTCAATGCATATTGTAGTATTATAAGTACTTATTGTGTCAATGCATATTGTAGTGTTATAAGTACTTATTGTGTCAATGCATATTGTAGTGTTATAAGTACTTATTGTGTCAATGCATATTGTAGTGTTATAAGTACTTATTGTGTCAATGCATATTGTAGTGTTATAAGTACTTATTGTGTCAATGCATATTGTACGCCATCTGTCACATGTTGCTATTATTCTATATCTTCATGCAACCCATGATGGAAGCCTCCATTTTGGTCGCATCTTAGTTGAAAGAGTGTGCTTTATATGGTGTTCTCTTGTGCAGGAGATGTACGATTCTTCGAAAAAGCTTGCTCCCACTGGTCGTCCGACTTAATCGAACGCCTGGAGAGTGTGTGGTTGCGCGCTAGTGACGACCTGTCCGTGGGTGTTTGCCCTCGCTTTGCCAGCCAGCCTTTGTCCCGCTGCTACTAGGTCGCGTCTGTGTGTGATGCAGACGCGATGTGCGAACATGGCAGCTGTCAACGGGGTCTTTGGCGGAGGTGGTGTTGTGCCCTCCGATCATCTGCCAATGCTTCTTGTAGCAACACTGCACCTGCTGATCTCGTAGCAACACTGCACCTGCACCTGCTGATCGACTTGCTGTAGGGGTGACAGTACTGCTGCTACTCACTGACTATCACTCGTGTTTGGCTGAGCACACTGCTCCGATGTTGTGCACCGTGCAGTGTGGTGATGATGATGATGGTGATCTATCTGTTCTCTGTTTTCTGTCAATGTAATGATGTCGTCCGTTGAGTTTGTCTTACGGTGGTGATGCTTGGTGCGAAAGTCATCGTCATCGGGACGTGCTTTGACGTACAAAGCTGTCTTTTCGTCAATTTAATGTCGTCAGTGGTGTTTGTCTTACGCCGTGGTGGTGCTTGGTATGTACGAGCTGCGTCGTCGTACACACCTTGGTCAATAGCTGCCCGGGGTGATTGCCAAGATTGTAGTCAGGTGACAGCTACCGTACTGCTACCTGGTTCACCTCTGCACCACGTCCTGATGTCATGCTACAATGTCATTCCATATTGCAATGATGATGTCATAATGATGTCATGATGATGTCATTCTGCAGGATCAGTTGGCAGTGGTAGTGAATCGCTTCTGACAGGACTGCAACCCTAAGTAACAAAGACTGATTCCAACCATTGCGCGGACATGGAGCGGCATAGCAGTTTCGCTGGCAGTGTTCTGTACTTACCACCGTGCCAGTGAACGTTTCAATGTACCAGTACTGCACTCTTATTGATCAGTCCTCGTTTACCGTGCCTCTCGTCGTAAGTTGTTGGAAGGAACAGGCCGTAATGAGATATCTTGCTGTAACTGCATCTTGAGCATGCGGGCCCATTTTTACTTGATAGTTGCTATGCATTGCTGTTCTGCTGTACCCGTGGTGACCAACCGCCAGCCAAGTGTCTCTCCCTTGAGTTGACATCAATTGATGGAAAGCCGGACAAGTGCCATCTTGTGTTGTCATTGTGGTTGATAATTCCGGTCCAGGTAAAGCTGTATTCTGATGTTTCTTGGCTGCGTGGCGGTTGCATACAATTTCGGAGCCCTGAATGCTTTTGTCTAAGAGATATTGACCAAGACACCGTTTGTCTTGGTTTCATTGTCTGGCCCTTACATGTACTATCGCACACAGGTGGGCTATTTCAGTGTCTGGCCCGCATTATGTACTATCGCTGACTCTATTCCGGATACTGCTCTGCAGTGTGCGGTTTGCCCTCAGACCGTGCACATCACGGTCCACCGTTTTCTGCACCTGTCTGTGCTCACTGGTCATGCCCTGTGCCGGCCGCCTGTGCCTCGCTGACTTGCCTGCAAGTGCATGTGCTGAGAGATCAGGGTCCTGGCCATACTGTCATCTGCTGTGTAGCCGTGGGCACGGTGCCGAAACGTTGTCACTTCAGTTGACGTCTCCAGCTCTGTGGTGCTGCACATTAGCGCACTGCATGCCACTGGTAGCCTCGTAGTGACGATTCTTGCTCTGCGACACTGACAGTTGCAAACTTGCTCTGCATGGCCACAACCTTTGCGCCGACTCCTGACCGGCCCAGTCAGCGGCTGGTGAAGTCACTCTGGACATGTCAACTTTGCAAGTATTCAGGCCGCCGCCAAGAGCCAATTCCAATCATATCTGATGATACTGGATTTTGCTGTACAACTCTCTCACAATGTTGTACCTGAGCCGAGCAGCCGCAACGCTTACGGTACTTCAAAGTACGCTGATGATGATGTTGGCCAGATCACGTTATATATGAATCGTCCACTTTCCATTTTATTTGCAATTTATCAAGTTTTTCTTTTCTTTTTTCGAAGCGAATATTTCTCCTTTGGTGTTGTCCCGTTTGTGTCCTTCAGAAATCCACCTCAAAGGCTATACTGCATGGCTGTGAGCAGCTGACGTCAAATTGCAAAATTTTAACAATTCTATAATTTTATCCCCCTCCCCCTACCCCGCTTTTATGGCACCACCTGACATATGGGCTGATTTGTGTTAATTAAAATTAATTAAAACAACGATGTGTCGCTGGTGTGATCGTGGGCAGTTTGCTGGCACGTGCTGGCCCAGAGCATGGCATAGCCAACTCCTGGGTGACTCAGACTGAAGTGTGCCTGTACGGCTGGTGAGTGGGGCTAATACAGGGTCCATCATTACGATCATTACCCTATGCCCCGCAACACACACACAAACACACACCTCCCCTCACCTCAGACCTGCGCATCGCGGAAGCGATGATAGCGAACAGCAATGTTAGACATAGCAACACACAGACACAGACACACACACACACACACACACACACACACACACACACACACACACACCGTGACACACACACACACACACACACACACACACACACACACACACACACACTTCAACTACGCTATCATTCTACTGGGACGACTCATCGTAGCTCCATACATCTTTGCGGCAGTGCCGTAGCCGTGTGACCAGGATTAGGTGCATGCCGGTCCGGTCAAATGGGTTACTTCAAGTGAACGGAAATGAACAATACTTCCAGGCGCGTAGCTCGTGTGAAGACAGCGTAGTCCGGTCAACACACCAGCAAACTGCCTGTCACACTATATAGTCAAAACAGGCAAGATGTCGGCTATGACTATGAGGTTGCCGGTGGTGCATGGTCACCACGCGCTACGGACATGCTCTGGTACATGGGCACCACACCACATGCAGATGCGAAGCTACGCCTCTGATTTCAACCCGAGGCTGCCTGATTTTCATCCCTAGCTAGATCTGCATGATTGTACGGCCCTGAGCTGATGTGTGCAGGTGGGTCATGACCAGGTGACCCCTCGGTCCTGTCTGGCTACACATACCTCTGCATGTTGCCATAGCAACATGTAGCCGGCTAGCACAGTACCCCCCCCCCCCCCGGCCCCTGAACACTGGAAGAGCAGTTCATGAGGAATAGAGTCACTTTCCAGGTATAGTCCGCAGGCCAGGGTTGAAATTTTTCGAGATAAAAAAATCTCGCTCCCGCTCAGGGGGGACCAAGTTTGGTTGTGGCGAACCGAAAGAGGACCCCTCGGGCTACTCGAAACTACTTTTGGGTATCCCCGGAGCTGGGGCTTTCGTGCGGAGTAAGCCCTTTTGGTTCCAATTTTCGGAACGACCCCAAGTGCGCAGTTGTCGTCTCCTGCAATTTTGAGTACGCGGAGAGCCTGCTCAAATTTGAATTTCGCTTTCACGTGGCGCGGCACGTGGGGCGGCACTGCAGAACTAGAAGAAATTGAAGCAGTCGGATACAACAAAGAAAGCCGAAAAGGGCTTACTCTACACGACCAACCGATCCATGGCGACTGTTTCGGGTAGCCCAAGGAGTGCTCCTTCATCCTTGGGCAACCATACATGTCTCCCTTCGACTGAGCACGCAGGTTAGGGAAACGATAATGTTTTACTGCGCCAGATGAAGGAATCGTCGAGATAGAGAAGTTTTGGTGACTGACATAATTATAAGCATAAATTATATCTCCCAGAGGCGATGGCCTGTCGAGGGATAGAGATATGATATGGACACTGGAGTATGGAATCAGTTGATCCGAAACCCCGCCGGAACACTCGGCAATCTGTGCAGGCCCTCAAACCTGCATTTTCTGCGGCTCTTTGAAAAAGAAGATTCCAGGCAAAAGCACTAAGCAAACAACGTCGCTCTTGCAATCCGAGGATGGCGAGCAAACCCTTCGTGCCGCTGCCGAGATCAGGCAGGACGACAAGATCTTGATAGCAATAGGCTCGAGTTGCTTGATAGCACGCGAAGCGTACTATCATAAGTATTGCTACCGAGAATATACTCGGGCCAAAACACTTGCTAGGCTGCAAGATCAGGGCGAGAGCGCAGCCACTTGTGCGCCTGTTGCCAGTGCGGGCACCGAGATTGATAAAGATTTTTTTACTGAAGTAGAAACGCTGCTGTTTGTGGAATGTTTGGTTCGGACCGTCAGTGACCTGACTCGATTGTTCAATCAAGTGTCCATAGAAGGGACAGCGCTAGCGAGAAACGAAAGAGTCAAGGGACTACTAATGGATAAGTATGGCGAGTCCATAAAGTTCTCTCGTCCCCGCGCACGGAATAAATCCGAGTTGGTTTACGCCACGGAACGTGCACCAGTGATAATAGCACGACTGTATGACAGGGACGCTGCGAGCGAAAGCGAGAGTGAGGAATCTGGTGACAGTCCTAGTGCTAGCGCCTGTGAGAGCCAAGAGGGTATCGCTAGTACCACTACCAGTAGGTCTACCAACTATGGAACAAGAGCACCCAGACGCCCCGCTGAAGTGGATGTGCACCAGACTGTTATTATGCAGGACAGCATACGTCTGGTATACCATTCGGCTAGGCTCCTGCGGAATGCCTGTCAGCAACAGGCAGAGAGTTTCGACACTACAAGCACAAGTCCTGGCAGCAGCACTGGTATGATTTCAGTGAAGCAAGCTGAGCAGTGCATTCCTGCCCTGCTCCACAATTTCCTTGTGTGGTTTTTGAGCTCAGGCCAGCATGACAATATACCAGCAGCATCCAGCAAGCTTGAAGTTGATTCCACGCTCAACCGCTGTGTGATGTCCTTTGCACAGGACCTAGTGTTCCAGTGCACAACTATCGTGCCACCAAAGCATGTTGCTCTTGGTTTGGCTGTACACCATCTGTACAGAAGTGAACGACTTGTGACCATACTGAACAGATTTGGCCACAGCATTGCGTACGCCCAGGTGCTGGAGAGAGAGACACGGATGGCCGAAAGTAAACTCCACAGCAGGGAGGCTACTGACGGCCTTCCGGATATTGTCGATATTATCTTTGTATGTAATGGAGTTTGAACATTTTTTTCTGTCGCTGTGATTCTTCTCTTCATATTACAGGCTGGCACCTAGAAAGCAATGGGACATTGGCAGTTGACTGGTTAAGCCTGCCACCTGCTCCAAAGTCAATCCTAGAGTTCCTCTAGAGTTCCTCTAGAGTTCCTCCGGTGTTCCTCCGGTGCGGGTGCAAAACTGGTTGCAGCAGTGGCAACTGTTCGTGCCGCCGGCATATGCTGTTGTGTACAGATGCTTGCACCTGTCGGCACCACTCTTCAGTAGTATGCACAAACTACCCAGAGCAGCATGCAGCATTGCCTACGACCCAACACATCTCACCTGAAACTGATTTGTAAGTAGTCATTGATATCTTGTTTTGTTTTAAAATAATGCCGTCAATGAATGCTTCACGTGAGAGATATTTATGATAGTAACTGTTTATACCATTGGTGTACATGGCTGGTCAAATCCTTTTAAGTAATGTGAACTTGAATTCAATACTTACAAAGCGTTATATTCTCGTATGTGTGTTATAGGGTCTGCAGTGACACAGCTCATGACTGATAGCAGCCAGCCAACCGTAAGGATTCGGGACTGACAAACTTGTAAGCAATCACTAGTTGCCGTTATCTCTGTGCTGTATTAACTTCCAAGTCTTTAAGCATGAGAGATGCGCTGCTAATGAGCACCTGTCCATACTGACTATACTTGGCCATGTATGTAGATCCGTCACGCGGCTTGCTGCTAACGGGACACAATCATTGTGCGATGGTCTTTTTTCTTTCTTTCTATCTTTTTCAGGTTGAGCAATCATGTGCATGATGGATAGCAGCCAGCTCTAGAGTGTCCCACCACCTCTGGGATATCTTGCAACAAATCTTATGACAGATCTGTGTCAGCATCAGTGGATGCCGGAACTGTCTTTCTTTGGCCGACAACCGCATCCCGCAGCACGGGTGATAGCACATCTTCTTCTTATCATATTATCTACATGACTGTAATATTGTCATTATAATTTAACCTGTACCTTCATTTTAAATTGTTTCCAGAGGACCTATGATCTTCTTACTGGAGCTCCTATACCAGAAAAGTTAGGCATGAAATATGATCGGAATGTCCGGAGACCCATGAAAGCGTGACAGTAATAGTAACTTTACAGATTATGCCAGTACTAAGACTTTATTATTATAATCAGAGACTTCATGCTAGGAAATAATAAATTATCCTTCTAGTGTACTTGTCCTATTTCCTATTTTGTGCAGGCTCCTTGTTGTATAATATGTTCTCAAATGTGACATACATTATTACAATGTATTACTATTGTGAAATGACCCAAAGGCAGTATGCCTATCGAGGGGTTCATTTGATTGAAAGAACAGTACTACTACTAGTATGTGGGGCTTGATGAGGAGAGAAACGCGGAAAATGAACTGCAAGGTGTAGTGGCGGAATTCCGTTGATTGCATAAGCATGGTTAGTGTATATTGCATTCCGTGTATTGACGCTATTGTGTTCTATTCTAAGAAATGCTATTGAGGTAGTAAAACACCTCCGATCATCATGAAAATGTGTACACAGCTAGGTCTGGGCCTTGGCTACTTCATTCCAAAGCAACACTGTTGGTATTTAATCTGCAAGATACCTAAATTGGGAATTATCACTTTGGTTGCTATGGTAACACTCTTCAAGAAGTATTTCGTTGATTTGGTCAACAAAGCCCCATGTTTCTGGGTCAAGTGACACAGATCCTGAAAGCTCTATGTATTCTCTATCATTTGCACATGTCAAACCTTGGTCCCCCTCGAACGGGAACGAAAAGTCACTTTTTTGCACCTTGGCCTGTGGACTAGTACCGTATTTTACTGGTTGTAAGTCGACCCCGGTTATAGGTCAACCCCCGTATCCGGAGGTCTCAATTCTGCGTTTTAAAGTTTTCACCCAACGAAGCACTACTAACCACCTCCTGCTACTAACACATCAACAAATCATGTAAACATTCCTTATTGGAGGATATAACGTCCCAATCCTTGAAAAAGGCCAATAAACTGGCAAAATGTGTAAACATGGTGCACTCGTGCATGCAGTGCAGGTCATTTTTTTTGAAGATTCTGATAGTTACCGGTTATAAGTCGAATCCCGGTTGTAAGTCGACCCCCACCCTTTCTCCCAAGTTCTATTTTAAGTCGTAAAAGGTCGACTTACAACCGGAAAAATACGGTACACGTGACATGGTACCTGTAGTCATGTAGATTATTACTTTCACACTTGCCACGTGATCGTTGCCACGGTTTGAGCCAATCAGAGCGCTCACAGGCAGGGCATGAACCTCTGATCATGCCCTGCCATTCAGGCCCTTGGGCTTGAAAAGTATTAGTTGAATGGCACCGTAGGAGAACATGAATGATCACGTGATGAGTATACTCGCACGTGGAAAGACTTACCTGATCGAGGTGAAACAACTCAAGAGAGAAAGAAAAAGCCTGATATCCGGTCCATGTATCCATGCGGTGGCATTTCAGGCCCTTGACCAATCAGCACGTCCCGAGAGCGTGTGGAGGTGAAACTGAACACGCCGCCATGAAGGTATAAAAGGAAGAAACCTCTAGGGGTGGTGGTCGGGGACGTGGAGGATTCAACTTGTGAGTTTCAGGTTGGTACGCTCGAGGGCTTTGTTGATTCAGGCCCGAGAGCGGCCCAAGGCCTTATTGTTGTGCAACGAGTGCCATAAAGGACTTGAGAACTTGGGCAGGCAGGCACTCGGTGTTTCTAGTTGATGTATTTCAAGTTCGATTTATGCAGATTAGTGCAGTACAGTGGCTTTGTTTGCGCTGCTAGGTGCGTTGTAGGTGCACTTGCACGTGCACGTTCTGCTGAGGAGAGCGTTCTGGCTTTCACTTGTGCTGTCGTGCGTGGGTGGCAGTGTGAAACACAATCAGACATGGATGTCAGGGCAGGTATCGTTGATTCCGGCCCTCGAGCGGCCCGCGGCCTTCGGCCTTGGGCCGCTCTCGGGCCTGAATCAACGATACTGCCCTGACATCCATGTCTGATTCTATACATCATGGTTATGTATCATACATTGCCGTGAAGTCTGCACTCTTTTCTCGGTCTACAATCCTGCACGTGTACATTATGATTACTATACCGTCCTGATCTAGGATCTAGGAGTAGACTGCAATGTAGAGTCTTCTGCCTGACATGCCGTATACTGGATAGCATTAGGGGGCGGATGAACCGCCTTCCATTGCAAAAGCACCGCTTGGCGGCAACTCCATGTACGTACAAGCAGATACCCGCTACAGCTCGATTTACTGGATGCACGGATGGCAACCAACTAGTCGCAAGCCCATTTTGTTGTGCCCAGCGCGGGCTTGCGACTAGTTGGTTTGGAGGTGACAGCGTTGCGAATGACCGAGGGTCCTCGACGTCTGTCTCACCGTCCAGGAGCGACACTGACTCACGCTGCTATCTGGTGTTCACGAGGTGTTTATCGCGCTGGAAGCGGAGCGTCTCTGTAAGTTTGTATCCCTGGTGATGTTTGTGCCTGGAGAGCACTATAAGTGGTGCTCTTCAGGCACAATCTTCCTCAGCCTACTCAAGCTCAACTGATGAGGGGTGAATTCCCCGAAACACTGTGTATTGAGCAGGGAGTGGTGCTTTCTTGCAGGTTTGCCGAGTCGAAGGTTCGATGGACTTCTCGTGTGCTCTGGATGGCAGTCGTGAGTCAGTCAAGTGTCAAGTAAAGTCGGCGGAATAGCGCGAGCTCCGGTGTGGGGAGCAAACCTCGGTATCTAGTAATACTTCTGTTCTTTCGATTCGAGGGAAACATGGATGCAGTGAAGATCCAATTACGCTCGACCAAGACCCTATGCGATATGCAGAGCTGGATCAGGCGTTGCACACTCTGGGGGGTTATGTGCTCTTGGCGGTACATGTTATCCGGTTTTGCACCTCCACACAACAAAACCCGATAATCAGCAAAAAAATATAAAAAAACTACTTTTAAAAAAAGTGCTGAAAAAGTGTTGAAAATGCCATCATGCGTACGATAGAATATAGATTATTCGTTCGATGGAGGGCGAAATTATTCGATAGATTATTCGTTCGAAGAATCCGTGTTCGGTTTAAACACTAGTAAAAAGTCTTGTATTGTACCAAAATAGAACTGATAATGCTTTCTCCAGCCAAAAACATGCCACCTAATGCCGAGCACTGCTACTTCTTCAAAACACCCATATAATGCTAGTTATAATGCTAGCATTAGCCGCCGATGCCTATAGATGGCTCAAAAAGGCATATTTTTCAATTTATTTCCCTTGCATATTGAATATTTAGTTCCTTTCAACTGCAATATGAAAATAAAGTACACATTGACATAGAGCAAGAAAAGAGCTTGATTTTGATATGCATATCATACTATACAAAATATGGGTTCACATACATTCAAATGGGACTTCGGTTATAAGGACACTTCGCGAATAAGGACACTTTTCTGATGCCCCGCCGAATGTAGTTATTGGCGAAGTTGACTGTACAAGTAATAACTAAGCGTGACAAGTGTGTATCAGCAACAAAAAACAAAAAAGTGAGAACGAATGATCATAATAACAATAATAAACAAGAAGGTGACAAAACACATTTTAGGCACAAGTGGCAACAACGTTGCCACACTACACAAAAGAACATTATTTGAACAATTTTAGGGTAATAACACTATCTTTCTGGACACACAAATTCGGCTTATGAATGCGCTGACAAGCAGCTTCCAAACCTTGTAACTGCAAAAGATAACCATGACGAGCACGGCACAAAACAGAAAAACAGGAATCAGAATAAGTACGACAACAGTCAGTACTAGAAACCAAATGATTGTATACTGAAGACTTGTTACTACGAGACGGACGCACACAATCTCGACTCACGCGCACACCCTCACACTCACTCTCACCCTCACTCAGCTCACCTTCTCCCTCACTGTCCGAATCAGAACCTGCTCCGTCATCCACAGCGGTTTGACTCTCCTCCTCACTTGCATTGTCCTGCGTCTCATCTTCACCACCCACGCCAACCGTGAATGCCGTTGCCTTCATGTCAGTCGTCGTCCTTTCCAATTGTTTCCTTTGTATTTTTACCGTGAATTCATAGGTCCGGTTGTAATCTGCTGTAGATCTCCGTGGTCTGTCATTTGCTGATTTGTTTTGTGGATTAGTTGTTGTTGTTGGATGTGAACCTGGTGTTGTTGTTGGATGTGAAGCTGGTGTTGTTGTTGCAGCCATGGTTGTTGGTCTTTCTGTTGAATCCAGCTCTGGCTCCGGTGGGTCAAATCGACCGCCACGGGTGCTCACCAACACAGACCTCGAAGGAGGAGGGTCAGGGGGAGGCAGAGGTGCTGTCACCACTCGAGGCACAGCCCCAAGCAAAGCACCCAGAGGCACAGACTTAGGCACACCCGAGGGCTGCACCAATGGCGGTTCCGCACGCACCTCCAAAGAGCTGCCAAGCTCAAGCCTGTCCAACACCGATGTCAGAGGGGGAACGGCAGAAAGCGGCAGGGAACTATCCTGCCGTGTAGGTGATGGGTTTTTCCTAGGCCTCCCGCGTTTGGGCCGCTCAGATTGCGCACTGGGTGGAATGATGTGAAGTGGAGTGTGTTGTTTGATACGTGCGTTCAGGTGCTGAACAGTCCTACCAACATACCGACTAGCACAATGTCGGCATTCGAAGTTGTAGATAACATGACTGAGGAGTGAGGTGGAGGGTTGGTAGGACGTCCTTCCGCACCGTGAACGCACGCATTGTTGTGAAGACTGGCACAAAATGAACTGCATAATAAGTACGACGGACGATAGACTTGACTTCGTGACACTTTGATCGATTCCTTCCCCTTCCATGGCAAACATAGATAGACGGGACAGCGAGGTGGACCAATCAGTACCGATTTCGGTTTCTGCTCCATGGACAGAAACTTACGCAACAAGAATTCCGGATAGCCATTCTTCAAGAAAACAGATCGAAGAAAATCGAGCTCGGCCTGCAGCTTACTGGGCGAACAAATACGTTTCGCACGGTCCACGAGGTTACGAACTAAGTTGACCTTGTATTGAGACGAACAATAATGAATCGAAGGCAATGTACTGACCGGTGAACGTAGGCTTACGATACACAGAAGTCAACATTTCACAGCCAGTCTTCTCTACAAGCACGTCTAGAAATGACAACTTACTAGACTGCTCGTGCTCACAAGTAAAGCGGAGGGAAGGATGTAGGCTGTTGAGCACATCGAGAAACAATTCACTGCTCTCAACACTGTCAAAATGCGTGAACGAATCGTGAACTTTGTTGCCACTTGTGCCTAAATGTGTTTTGTCACCTTCTTGTTTATTATAAAAATGCAATACAACATACACTGGAGAAGAAATCAGGAAAATAAAATATGAGCTCAAAAATGGAACGAAAAATAGCAAATAGAATCAAAACTCACGATGGAATCAAACTCACGATGGAATCAAACTCATGATGGAAACTACAACCCAATGAGTTGGAAAACCAACCACAGAATTAGATATTGGGAATAGAGTCAGACACAACAACAACCGAAACCAGTACACCAAAAATCTGTCCTACAAAAAACAAAGGAACAAGAAAAACAAGAAAGACGAAGTACAAAGAATCCCCAAAAAAGAGGGGAGAACGGGATGAAAGAGGACCGGAGAGCGGCAAACCCCAGGAGGACTTAGCGTCATGCACGTAGTGGCGGGAATGCGGGCCTCCACAGATTCTTGTTTATTATTGTTATTATGATCATTCGTTCTCACTTTTTTGTTATTTGTTGCTGATACACACTTGTCACGCTTAGTTCTTACTTGTATACCCTTGTTTTCTGCACACTTTTGTGAGAAATCGCACCTCGATATTCCAGTGCTGTCATTGTATCGTGTCACCCTACCTTGATTGCTATATTATTTCCTTTGTTCTCATTTTGTTCTTTAGTACAACGGTGGTTCCTGAAGAGTGTTGTACGAAAACTTGTTCGAATCATCTTTTTTTCCATTGCCTTTTTCTTCTTACATGTATTTTTTCCTTACCCTTTAGGTTGTTTCTTGCATCATCTCCATCGCTTACATTGTTAATAAAGTAGTCCACATGTCGCTTCAGCTCGTCCTACTTATTGCCATATTAAAATTATTGTCTCCTCGTCGAATTTTTAAATTATTATTATTATACGCATTTCCGCGGCAGCGTCAACCAAGCAGTAAGTGTTATGCTTGATCCACACGTTCGCTTATGCTGGACATTGAAACAGAGCAGATGTACATGTAGATATGTCCTAGAGAATGGGGCTCTACAAACCAATTACCAAAGTTAGTACTTCAGTAACATAGAGTAACATGGAGCGTCATAAAATTGGTGTCATTGGGGAAAATATCATCAATCTTGTCTCTTCATATAACATCATGGTCAATGGGTGGCGAGATAATAATAATGTACGAGGTTGAGTTTCCAGATAGTTATTAAAAGATTCAAATAGTAATTATTATAGAATGGTTGCTATGTATACAATAAATGAGGAGGCCGAGGGTTTATGACCAATAAAAACTATTATAAAAACCGAGGTCCCCCGAGGTTTTTATAATAGTTTTTTTTCATTATAATTTTTCATATAATAGTATTTTTCATAATCCCCGCGGCGCTGCGCGTCTTGGGGATTTGAAAAAATATTCCCTCCGAACCGTGCAATATCCTATACATAAGGGTGCCATGACTGTTTCTACTCGTGACAAGGGTGTGCACAAACACTCTTCACCAGCGCGTTCCATGCTGGACGGTCCGCAGCAATCCGCTCCAGACGGCGCAAGTCCTCGGCACTCCGCAGCTGCCCATTGTCCGACTGGGACAGATCGGTGTGGAGCTTTATTGGCAGTGTCACCCTCGGCCTCCCACGGTACCTCCTCTCAAGTATCGTGTATTGCTTGGAATAAACCTAATGTCGCTTCCATAGAATTGGGCACCATTGCCCGTTTGGCCTTGCGAAGTAAAATAAAAATCAACAACAACAACAACAAACTAAACAACTCAAAAACATTACCCTCAGGGGCTACACCCTCTCCCCCCCCCCCCCCTGGTACCCGCAGGGCTACACCCCCCCCCCCCCCCCCCCGGGATTAGCAGATTATGCTCTAGCGGATGCTCGCAGGATGCTCGAGAAAACAGCCAATGATGCTCTTATATGCTTCACCAAAAAGACCAAAAGAACAGATACACAGAGGCAATAGGCTTAGGACAGTAACTTAGGTTCTGCGAAAGTGCTCAATACCTGATTCAGACAGAGTGGCGTACACAAAGGCACACAATGAAACCTTGAAGAAAAAGAAAAGGATCAAGGAACTACAAGTTACGCTATAACAGTATCCACTAACACCACCGGTTGCTAAACAATCAGCTCATGCGATAACATTGCACGACACTGACCGACGTTAGAACCTTCCAAGTTGGAAGGCTGTTGGAGTGCACATCCAAGATTTGCTAGAGCTGTTAGCCAGTTAGTTGCAGAACGTCAGTACCGTCGGTCAGTGTCGTGCAATGTTATCGCATGAGCTGATTGTTTAGTAACTGGTGGTGTTAGTGGACATTATAGCGTAATTTGTAGTTCCTTGGTCCTTTCTTTTTTCTTCTATAAAATTAATCCTTGGCTCTCGATCCATCCGACTCCAATGGAACCTTGGCAAATAATTTATTTCCGTTGTGACTCAGAGTGTCATGGCTGAACCAATCATCAGAATGATAACAAAAAGAACAGATACTTGTCATGAAAAAAGGACTCAGATCATTGCCATGATGTGGACTGAGAGCTTTGTGGAAGTACAAGACAATAATCTGCAAGAGGAATACCAAATTCCCAAGCAAACGCTGAACTTTTGGGAGGTATCCTATAGTGGCTGCTAAGATATTACTCCAAATCGACAAGAAGTGCTATGTATGGACCTTCAATACCAAGTGTGTATAACAGCCTCATTGGGCATCTGCCCTTGATTTTCGGATGCCATTAATTTTTATGCTCCTTCTCAAAAAGAACCTGATTATATTTTGCCAAAAAGTATGCCTTCAATAGCAGGTGTGCATAACAGCTTCATTGGGCACCTGCTCTTGTTTTTCGGATGCCATTTTATGCTCCTTCTCAAAAAGGACCTGATTATGCCAAAAATTACCCCTACCCCCCCCCCTCCCCCCGCCCCATTACTCCTAAATCCCGCTAGCTGATCCACTTTGAAACTCCCTTCAACGCTCTGTCACTATGGTACCATCACTATCCAAGCCCGACCAAGGTCACGGTGCATGCCCTTCAGACAAGTGGAGTAACGACGAATGATAACATCGGAAGAAGAAGAAGAAGAAGAAGAAGAAGAAGCAAGACCCGCGACAAAAACGGAAGGACATTCAGAATCACAAGACAGGGGACCAGTAAGAGCAACGCCCAGTTGATGCTAGCAGCCTGGAGGGCATAGCCTGACAAGCCGTCAAAATTCATCATGCATTAATTTTCTTCTTAGATCGGTGCTGGGACCATGCCAAGCTAGTAATGATAATTACTAGCTTATTACGTATAGATACATGTATGTTCATGTATGTGTGTAGAGCATGATAACATACAGATACTGTACGTATGGATATAGAGCATAATACACGCCTGGGGATACTACTAGTGTCTGCGTGGAGCACGTGCAGGGATACATGTACATTCTACATACTACATGTACATGATTGTACAGTAACGTTATAATTTTACTACATGTACATGTACATGTATGTGTGAACATGACTGTTAGGTTATATGCCATGTTCGGATAGGTGAGTAGCAGATCTAGGCAGCGGGGGGATGAACTAAGTACAATGTCAGAGATCTAACAAACATCATAGTGCAATTGAAGGCTGCTATCATGCCTTGCTTGCAAAATTGTGGAAAAGTGGTGATGGTTCTCGGCGCGTGCGACACAATCCGGATCCGATCGGGTGAGGGGACTAACTCTGCATGAACATTGAATTTGAAGCAGCGGAATGATTCCGTCCAATGCAGCCTAATATGGCGATGTCCGCCGTATGTTTCACGACAGCGGCCGTGCATCAGGCAGGCCCGGGGCAAAGATTATCAACAGTAGTACCAACACAAAGCAACGTCATGATCTCTTCCTAAAGTAACTGTTTTTCCCATGAGCACAGCCAGGCCAACATTGGCAGACACAGGTGTGCATCATAGGACTAGCGGCTGTGGTGCTAGACTCACTCGGGCTTTCGTGCCAAGAAGAAGAGCATCGGCGAGAAGATGTCCAGCTTGCCGGCTTCGACGAGGCCGTCCGCCCCGCGGCATAGCATGGCGTGCGTCTTGGAAACGCCCTTGGGCGCCCGGCCGATCTTCTCCATGCCTATTAGCATTGCCTGCGTGGTCTTTCGGCCTATTGACGTGGCACGGAACACGCTCTTGGCAATGTCCTTGCCGAACGTGAGCGGTGAAAACCATGGTATTGGGTTGCCCCGGGACAGGTCAACTATCTCTAGCAGGTCTAGACCGGATGCCTTGATTGTTTCCCGGATATCGGTCTCCGTTCGCAGACACGGTAGACCATTTCCCTCCTGAATGAAACACACCATAGTAACGTTACATTACATAGTGAGACAAAGCATAGTGCAGGCCACAGTGAGATGATCAGTAGTTACAGAGCATCTGGGGCACATGTAGTTTAAAACTATCTGGTTTTTAAACGTGAGTCCTACGCCCTTTATAGTACTAACTCTGTTGTTCGCGCACGCACACACACACACACACACACACACACACACACACACACACACACACGCGCACACACAGCGATGCTCAGTGAAGTTCAAATCAAGTGAAACACTTTAGTGTAGCACCGGGCATGGTACGAATCCTGCCCTTGCCTGCAGCCCTCGGCCCTACGGCCCTTGGGCTGCAGGCTCGGGCAAGATTCAGCCATCATGACCACCTGCATGAGCGTGCTTGATTCCACACATATTTAACTGTCCCAACAGACAGTTCAATATGTGTGATAGAATCATCAGAAGGCTTGTGACTGATACATAAGCCATGCCAACGAAGTCCCATGGCAACCAATCACAGCGGAGGGCCAGCGTGCCGCATCAAGCTGCTTGCATGCACAGTAGATCTCTTGCAGAACGGAATGTATTCAGAAATGTTCCAGCTCTGCAAGCGCTTTTTAAAACTCAATTCCGGTCCAATGCAGCCCAAAACCCAACTTTAATTCTTAGCTGAAGCTATGCGAGGATGTTACGAGTAAGTGCACATGCCCGGATATTGAAACGTGTCGTTTCAATATTGTGTAATTCGTCTTACCAGCAGGTTATGGATGACATCATATTGCACTTTGCTAGTGCTGTCGTACTTGTCTGTGAAGATCCAATCGTAGCATGCAAAGTAGCTGCCTGGTTTCATGACGCGCATCACTTCGCTGTATACCTGCGCTAAGTCTGGCGAGTGGCATAGCGCCTCGCAAGCGTAAACGCCGTCGAAGGAGTTGTCCTCGAACGGCATGTGATGAAAGTCGCCCTGAGTCGTGCACGCAGAAGCACACGCACACGTACACATACACACACGTACGCACATCAGATCCATGGGAAATTTTCAGTTTTCGAGTGTTTCTCAGCTTAGAGCACATCATCCTCAGCATAGAAATCTGGAATAGAAACACAGAGAGTCTAAGCCGTACACTGGCTCATGGAGTACCTATAATTTTATTTTATGTTTACAGAAATCAAGACCCCTCTCCAGGTTACCACGCATATTTTGAGTAAAGAATAAAACACACGTGCATGCACATGTGCACACACACGCACGCACACACACACACACACACACACACACACACACACACACACACGCACGCACGCACGCACGCACGCACGCACGCACGCACGCACGCACGCACGCACACACACACACACACGCGCACGTGTAACAAGGACTGACGGCCTCACCTCTACGTAGCTGACCAGAGAATCTAAGCCCTTCTCCTTGGTTACCCGTGTGGCTCGGTCTACTTGATACTTGTTGATGTTGAGACCTACAATGCTGGTTCCGGACAGCTCAGCTATCTCTCTAGCCGGACCACCTACACCACATCCTACATCCTGCAAAAACAACAACAGGGTCGTGCACCACACATACCACATTTTCCAGGTCAGAAGCCGCCCTCGTAATTCATTGGGAAACGGCATAACATCCGCCCTGCAGCATAAAGTAGCCTTCTACCAAGCATTCACTTGAGTCACAGTACAAGGAAATCATCATCATAAAATTGAATGCACTGTGAGAATTCGCCTCCAGGGCAGACTAGTGGCACTGCTGCCCCATAGATAGGATGGTTAATGCCCCATCAAGAGGGCGGCGCTAATGCCCCGTCGACGCGCGGGCTACTGCCCATGCCAGACAGGGCCAATGCCTGTAGAGGGCAGAATAACTCCCCTTGGAGGTGCAGTGCTAGTGGTCATAGAGGGATGCAAGGGGGGGGGGCGAATACCACATAGAGGGGCAGGACTGATGCCCTGTAGAGAGAGAGAGAGAGAGAGATGGGGCTGATGGCCTTCAGATATAGTACATGCACACAGCAGTGCAAGTAGATCCCCCCTCCCCCCCCCCCCCCCCTCCCTCGTACAGGGCCAGTGTGGTGTTCCTCACTGCTCCATCTGAAAGGAATACAGGCAGTCACAGCACCCGTCCCGTCCCAAGAGGCCCAGCCGAGGTCCAGCAGTGGAATCAGATTTAGCACCCGACCCAACAGGACGCAAACAAGTTCAGCATTGTGCACCTTGTGGTGGTCATACATGTACATGTACAGTTAGTAACATCTACGCAGGGGGGGGGGGGGGACTACACTAGATACGGGTCACACTGTTAGCAAGTCACCTATCACGGTTATCACTCCGATTCAGGATAGCCGTGACTCTGCAAGGCAATCGCAAGTACTACAATGTCATGTACTGTACATTGTACACACTTCGACAGCTGCAAAACGGTTGTTGATGTTTGTTAGTGTTACAGAAAGTCAGACTTGTTTGGGCTGCTTATTGTTTGCGATTGCTTCACAGTAGATGGCGCGAGTTTTCAAAGTTTGGTAAGCAGCGCCTCTCGCAAATATCGCAAACATCTTTACGTCGCAAACGTCGGGCCCTATGTTCACAGTACATACATGACATGTAATTCAATGACTGATCAAAGCTAAAATGTATTATGGAGTATGTTGTTCATGAAGTACTTCAGTACACCATCATTTTACTTCAGTGCTGCTCCAATTTTTTTTTTATATTGTATTTTATTATTTTACTTGGGCATTCCCAACACACCCTAAGGTCTTCTTACAGGGTGCCCAATCACGTGAGTAACAGATAGTATGTGTCCTACACTATCTCACAACCCAGTACAGTGTGGAGTCTACCAGTGTTCCTTGGCGTAGGACTGCATAGTGCATGCCCAGCATAGTGCATGCCCAGCGCATTCTTGAACTTGACTCACTGTACAAGCTAGCAGGTCATACACAACCACAGACGCAACAGGGAAAGAGATTTTCTTAGCCTTTTTTCCTTCGTTTTTGGAGGTTTAATAAAAGAGTTTCCTTTGAAGCACCAGTCTTTATACATGTAAGCCTGGCTCCAGAGTGGTTGGAAAGATATAAAGGCCTATAATTGAGATGATACGGTACATGTACATGCATATGCACAAAGTAAAGTAAATTCCGCACATCTCAGCGGCGTTACCATTGGCTATACATTGTGTTGAGAACCACAAGGGTGAACCAGCTACCCCCTGGTAGAATCAGGCATGGTGGTGGCCTGGCAGTGGCTCGAGCGACACCAGTCTCTAAGGTTCTATAACGTACATTTGTACTTGTAGTGTGAAACCGACTGGTACATGGTGGCCGAGTGTGGTGCCATTCAGAACCAAGCCCGTGGTCAACTACCAGCACATTTACATTTACACGTGTAGCAACCTTATTGTTATGGTTATGCGGCAAAGGTGCAAGTGCAGCTGCATGCAGTAAGGCTATGCAAGGGTCACCCTTCACTCTACATACGCCCATTCAGCACGGACTAGGCCATGTTAGTGTGTGTGGAGGTGAATGCTCATATCAGAAAATTCGGTACCCTTTGACGGATGTTGACACTGGACAGGCACGCGGACATCCACATGTCACAACAACACTGAATGGCCCACCCACACACTCAGGCGTACACACAGGCACATGCCAAGGCACAGTGTCAACAAGGCTTGAACTCCCAAGTTGATTGTTGTCAATGTCAGTGTGGACGGTGCATGGGCTATTGTACCGGCTAGCTGGCCAGCTGCAGTTGCCTTCCACGTGCCCTTCCAAGTTTAGATATACCCATACCACTCAGGCACTGACATTGTTCTCCTGGAATCCATGGCATGGACTGTGGACGAAGTAAAGACCGACATTAATTTAATGGAAGACTTGAGCTTTAGGTGATGACAGCCATGATGTCAGGCTCTTTGACACATGTCACGTGAGTTTATGACAGAGTCTGTCAGGTGCGTTTCGACAGAGATCTTTCTCTGAACCAGTATTGTACCACTAGTTTGTACTACTACTGTACTAGTCTTTTGACTTGTCTTGTCAGAGAAGACCATGACGATATCGGGCCATAATGCCATAACGACGTCCTGTGCACTGTGCGGCGTGTGCCCAAGAACTGCATGCCTCCGCATGAGGACCAAGGAAGGACCACCTCGAGTCAAGGAGACAAGGATGCTGGTACCTGCCATGTGCGATACATGGAATACTGCACTGTCAAGTGTCAACGAATGTCACGTCCAGTGCATACAGCTGAATAAAATCCGATCAAGAGAGTCAAGTGTGCGCCGGTACAGTAGCTGTGCAGCCTAGTCTTGTGCGGGAGGCGCAAACTCGACTCGCTCGATCGGATTTTAGACTTTAGTGGGTAGCATTGCACATGCCATCACAAAGTGCATGCAGTGCAGGTGCATGGTCAGTTTATTGTTGCTTGTCGTATTGCACTGGCTGCACGTGCTGGTCGGAAAAGACCTGGGACCATTCCGTAGCGCTGCGTGCACTGGCTCTTATAAGTTATAATAATTATAACACGTCTTGTGATCACTGTCTGGCCTTTTTTAGAGCCAGACCCAGGTTCTAGCTGGCAGATACACACTGGCACTCCGACTGAGTCCGAGTCTGTGACCGTACCGGCGGGATGTAAAATCTACGAAGCACGTTTTCTGCACAACCTCCAGCGTGCTGTATCTGTTCTCGCCAGCTCAAAGAACCTGCGAGACTTCCCAACGCTGGTATAGTAGTACACAACTGCAAGCAGAATGGTCGGATCAAGGGCTTAGGTCAAGGAACTCCATGCGCCATGTGCCACATTCCTGTCTCTTTTCCCTGTCTCACCTGCCGTTGAACACGAGCACCTGCTCGGGACAGTGGACTCCTCTACTTGTATCGCGCCTTCCAAGAGTCAAGACGTGCCAGTCCAACATCAAGGACTCGTGGACATGAGTCATCCAAGCAAAGAAAATCAAGCCATAAATTCCTGGTACGTTTTGATGCATTATCACTACCAGTGCCACACCCTCTGCATGCAAGTCATGCATAACCTCGAGCAATGCAAGGATTAGGAGCCTGGACTCCTGTGCATGATTGCAGTACTTCGAAGTACAATAGTAGCAGCGCGCAAGTGTCAATGCCCTTTCCACTCTCACTCTGGTCGAGTAGTGTTGGAGGAGCATGACAGGGCCGCGTTTCGACTCTCTCTCTCTTCACGACTCCATGTACAACTGACAATACTAACAATAGAGGTATTGTGCTTTTGAGCAGGAATCATTGACTGCATGATGCAGGAAAGTATACAAGAAGAGGAACACAAGCAAACACTGCACGAATGATCTTGTCGACACCTCAATCCAAGCCAACTTACTGCAATAACTACATGTTTAATAATAGTTATGGGTACTTTGGCGGCAGCTATTGAATGTACACCTAGAGGCTGTCAAGGCTAGGATAGAGACTAGAACGGTACACTGCAGTCGACTAGTCCTGCTGCTGGCACATTATACGATCTCCCGGTGCCACACACACACACACACACATTTTATAAGCATTCATCCAGTGTAGGACAATCAGACATGTACATGTATACCGGTTCTTTAGGACGCGACGTACCAAGGTAATCAGTACTCCCAGTCTTCTTACGGTCGTCGTTCATTACGACATTAGTCGATAGCTTACTACTAGTTATAATTAATTTTACTAACTACCTAATAACGGGGACACCGATTTTAACATTTACAGCACTACAATATTGAATAGAGCGATTCTATCTGCACCGCAGTACCACAGGCAATAATTGTCTTCAATACTCAGGCAATAATTGTCTTCAATACTCAGGCAATAATTGTCTTCAATACTCAGGCAATAATTGTCTTCAATACTCAGGCAATAACATTAACAGCCAACTTGCTTACCAGTATTTTCATTCCGCATCCAGCCTTGACCTTGACAGCCAGACGATGCTGATGGCGAGCCTGGGACTCGCTGAACGCTTCTCCAGGTCGGATAGGCGCAAAATGAAACGATTGTCCCCAGCCGTACTCATAGAAGTCGGTCACTTGGTCGTAGTAACGATTGACTACATCGTCGTAATTGCCTTTGCGTTGCTCTTCGGACTTCTTCTCCTTCTCGCCTTGGCTATCCGCCACGCCACTGCCGTTCGTCTTTCCGTAGTACGTTTGCGTGTAGTAGTCGGCCTGCGGTGCCGACTGGCCGGACTTTCCGCCGGTGACATCCTGCAGATTCTGCACTGTGGTGGCTGCCATGCTGCCGAGTTGTGTAGCGTGAGCACTGCAGAAGAGGAGGAGGAGGAAGTATTGATGAAAATCACACAGGCGGACTGCTGAAATGAAGATATAGGGTAGCCGATGCTAGTCCGAACAAAATAACGTGAACTACACGGTTGCTCGGAGAAGAAAGAAGTGATTAGCAGGAGAAGTGGGGTAGCTCTTTTCCTAACTGTTTCCGTCCTGTGCAGCCTGTTGTGATAGTGCCGAGTCGGGAGACTAGATTTATAGACACGGCGTTGTGGCTAGCCGTGTATGGTCTGCGATCTCTGAAGTAGAATGATTTTAGGTGTAGGTTTAGAGCGACCTGCTGCACTGGGCAAAGGAGGTGCAAAACAATTTGGGAATGATAATGTGATGTGACGTGATGTGTTTTGATGCTAGCGAGCACGCCTAGGAGTGAGTCGTGGAATGGTGTGACACTCTGAGACCCCGGAGCCATTATCATTCTCATATTATCGAATTCCAGTCTAGACTGCAGTACTGGTCCATAATGGTACTGGGAGAATGACTGTGATTATTGGTGGTGGTGTCGTTGTAGGCAAAGCGACTTGGTATGGGCCCATTCGCCTTCTCAAGTGGTATCGTGTCAATCCTATTCGTGTGCTATGATGATGCTACATCATGATTGAGGTGTAGATCTACGGAGCTGGAGCTGGAGGTGTGAATCGTGTGATGTCAAAATTACTCGGTGACACTCGCACTAGACTGAGATGTAGTAGAGTAGAGGCACACACTATCAGAGTCCATACCAGATACCACACCATCACTACTATTATAATAATAATAATTAATTACTACACTAGCCTGCGGTGTAGGTACATACTATTTTATCCCTTTCCATGCCAGCATGTTTTCCTGTGTTGGCCACGCATTGTTCAGGCGCGGAGCTTTAAAAGCTCGCATCAGATTAAACTATGTAGTACTGGAAAATATGAGGTGCATGCTGCTAGTAAAAACTTAAAATGCTCTATGCACGTGCATACCAAGAGTGTCATCATGTGGCCCCACCCCGTGACAGCTCGCTGTTTCGACCTAGCTGTTGCAGCATCAGCCGTGGACCGTGGTACTGGAAGCTACTACTGATGCAATCACACGTGACGAAAGAGAGGAATCCTGTAGTGTAGTGTAGGCATGGTGCGTCGGTGGTGGCCTCACTGACACTGGCCTGGCACAAGCCAAACCTCCCTCTCTACTCTACAATGCACATGTACATCTAGCTGGTTGTGTGTTTCTCAACAATCATGTTCATTGTCTACACTGTATACAGTAGCTGGTGGTAACGTCATGGAGTCGTGGACGGGCGAACGAACTTTGCTCAGTTTGCTTTTAGAAAGCCTTGCAAACTTCAGGCTCCTCGTCAGCGACATACTCCACAACTTTCAATGCCGTCTCACCCGGTGGAGTACAGCATAAAAGGGGAAGGAAATTGAGCGACAGTCAATACACGCGAGTTATTATTATTATTATGAACAGTTTCGCGTACTTGAGGACCAGCCTCTTTCCGCCTCTGTGTTCCTGAGCAATAGAAGGAGAGAGACAAAACTATACTATTATGATGATGACAAGGGAAGACATGGACTGCAAGGTACGGTTTACAAATCGACAATAAGCAAATACACGCGAGTGCCATGAAGAAAACTGTGAGATAAGAGGTTTTTTAAGGCTACATTCAATATTTTAAAAAAATTTTGTGTTACGAGAACAAAATACAGTGCTAAAATAGAATGAAGGTAGCAGTACTATAGTCTACCGGTATTAGTGTCTCGCCCCCCCCCCCCCTTTGCACTCAGTTCTCACTTCACTTCTATTGTCTCACCTTTCTTCATTCATGTACATTGTACTACATTGTACAATACTCAATACTAGTACATAGTACAATGTATCCTCTCATACCTTTGGTAGACTCTCCAAAGCTCTCCAAACGTATAATTTTATAAAAAGCTTGGACTTGATTCCTGGGTCCGGACTGGGCTGTTGTCGTACATGTATTGCCTAGTCTATTGCTGCATTATATTTTTTTCGGGGGTAACGGCCTCTTTTACGGACAAAATAAGGTCATGTAGACGTGAAAAATTGAGATACCATGAAAGGTAAAATAGAATTTTATTCAAGTACAATACATTGGGAAACTCCAAGAAATTCCACGTAAAACAGACGAAATTCAGTTTTCAATGGCCGATGCCTACCCCAGCACCGTCCTACGTCGACAGGCCTGTCAGGCGCCTTCTAGACCCGCGGAGCCGGAGGTCGACCGCATGGATCACTGCAAATTGGCTGCGAACTCGCACCCAAGCCATGATGATTGAAAATGGCGTGTCCCACTTGAGGGTGAGGCGACCAGCAAGTCGCTTCTGATAGCTGGCGTATTCGCGATGTAGCACCCCATCCGTGGAACAAACCAGTGGTGTGAACGACCCACGGAGGTCCTCGGAGGCCTGACGGTACTTCTTTTTCTTCGCGTTAGCAGGGCCGTTGGAAGTAGCTTCCCAGGATGAATGGGAGTAACTGGGTGCGTTGGCATCAATGATGCGATTATCAAAAACGCCACCCTGTTATCCTCCCACACACCCCGGGCAAGCCAATCTGCCCGAAGAGCAGGCTGCCCCGTCCGATCACCCTCCGGCACCATGATCGACTCGACGACAACACCACCAAATGCCATATCAGCTAGCTTTGCATCGCTATCACGCAGATCATTGTGGCCTCGCTTGATAAGTCCACCTTTCGGGCAGTCAAGGCCATGCTGAAGAGTGAAGGGCTTCCCACAACCATCACATTGCGCTGGCAGGGCAAGCGGCTGCCGACCAAAGCGGATGTCAAGTTGATCTCGGAATTCTGTACTCGATAGATCATACCCCTCGCGCTCCAGGGGCAACACCGTAAGCCATCCGGAGGCATTTCCCCGTACGATGCGGGAGAGGGTGCGCTCCTCAAGCTGTGGCAGGTCACTGAGAATTGATTGGCTGATTTCAGCGGAAATCACATCTCGTTCCCTGCTGATTTTGCTTGTGATGCGGCGACAGTGAGCGCTGTGATCATTTACGTTTACGGGGTTACCAGATTGGATGGAGTTGCGCAGGATGTCAGTTGCGTTTCTCGAATTCTGGTAAGCCTGGGGTGCTGTGTGGACAGGATCGGCCAAAGCCAAGCCACCATACTTGACTGGCAGGGTGAGGAGCTGGTGTTCCCGAGGAAGAACCTCCCGCCCAAGGATGGCTGGGGCAAATTGCTCCAGGATGACGTCTTGAGCTCGATCAGGACATGTACATGTACCTGACTTTTAGTTTGCTCTCTCAGACTCCTTCATCGATGAGTTTCACTTCGTAAGTAAGTTCGTATGCCTTTCCCAACGAACTATTTGCACGAAAACAAAGCGCCAGCACTCTCCTGCAGAACGTGGACTATAAGAAGTGTCATGGCTTCACCCAGACAGAGTCACAGTTTGGTGAGACTACTTGACATTGTATAACAATTATTGTGCATGCACCCGTAATGGTCGTCTCGGCCAGAGTAGTCTTGTCCAGTCTACAGAATAGAATGATGTACAATCATGTACAGGTACAATGACAGCAGTTAGGAGCAATCAACTACAACTGTACATGACATTTAATTGTACTGCAATACTTTTCTGTTTGTATCGCTTAGTTCGCACCATTGGTTAGTCTATGCCATGCCCATGCGGTGTACATGTAGATCTACATGATGTACAATACAATCATCATGTACATGACGACAATGATTATTATCTCAGCTCTCTTCGACAATTCGAGTATATCGGCCAGTTTTCCACTTACATTGTACCTGTATGTTCTTACATGTACATGTACATGACTGATTGTGTAATGTGGGTGCATACATACATATATATATGTATTTGGACAATTACATAAGTACACCTGGCTTTACCCAGTCGAGCACTCTACCCCTACACTGCAAGTTAGCTATGGACGCTTCAAGGCCAATGCAACTGGGATATTCCCTGAAGAACATCCCTCTACAGTCGCCCAAGCAGTACCGGAAATGTCTGATTGACAGGATTAGCGCTAAATTTGTTTATGCTTGTGGCCCTTATGTGTTTATAAGCATATTGTTGGGTAGACCCGAGTATCAGTTGTCTGATGATTGCCTAACGGCATGAAACTCAGAGTTACAACCAACCTGAACGTCCTCCGCTGAGTCTGCTAAGTACAGCTGCATTGGTGTCTTCAACTTAATTACATGCCATGAAAATTAATGTAGAACAACTGGATAATTATCTCAAGGTTTGGAGACTCCACTGTAGCCAATACTTGAATCCATACATCCTGTACACACACCTTGTACACACTCTCTCTAACGGTCTCTAGGCTACACTGCAATTGATGTACATTAGATCAAATTTTCGGGCAAGGCCCGTCTGGCCCATCATCAGGAATATTCCCAGTGATGATGGGCCTCGCCCGAAAATTTGATCTAATGTCTATTAGAGAGAGTGTGTACAAGGTGTGTGTACAGGATAACTGGATAATTAAAAAGTAAAAAAGGACCAAGGAACTACAAGTTAGTTACACTATAATGTCCACTAACACCACCAGTTACTAAACAATCAGCTCATGCGATAACATTGCACGACACTGACCGACGGTACTGACGTTCTACAAGTAACAATTAACTGATAATCCGTCAACGTCCTTCACAGCTGAGACTTTCAGCTCGTGCTTATCTTGGTTGCGCTCACCTTTCCCTCCTCATGTTATTTCTATAGCAGTACTTAGAACCTTCCAAGTTGGAAGGCTGTTGGAGTGCGCATCCAAGATGTGCTAGAGCTGTTAGCCAGTTAGTTGTAGAACTTCAGTACCGTTGGTCAGTGTCGTGCAATGTTATCGCATGAGCTGATTGTTTTAACTGGTGGTGTTAATGGACTTTATAGTGTAACTTGTAGTTCCTTGGTCCTTTTTACTTTTTATAAATAATCCTTGGCTCTCCATCCGAGTTCAAACTGGATAATTAGACGTGATAGTTAGACCCCGACTGCGACAAGGGGTGGATTTATCAGGATTCCATCAGGATTCTTTTTTTACCGTTGTTGTTTCTGACTATTCTTCTCTGCACTATTCTTTCGAGTATCACCTCTCTGCTGAATTAGAATTTATTGGTCTCGATGATGCGTGTACATGCACTGCTGCTATTCGCGAGTCACCGGCGTTGTCATGTACATGTTGTACAGTCATGTGCAATGTACATGTACATAGTATAACGAGGACTAGGGACGGCGAGGTTGTCGTTGTTATTCGCGAGCTGGACTGTAGTAGTAGTAGTACTAGTAGTAATGCAGACGATGGAATGACGTGCCTAGCGCCGATGCATGCCAACTCCTTGACGTTCGGAATTGCTCTGCCTGTTTCAATTACATGCTTCATTTTAAATATGGATTTCCCTTTTCTCTGCGTCTGCCCTTGCTGTTTCCCGATCTCATGTTACCACGCCCTTCTGTCGTCCACATGTATCAAAGGAGGCGAAATCGCCTGTTTGTGGTGCGACGTTAAATAAACTTCTACATTCTACAACCAGATGGACATACACGTGTTGAATGATTATTGTGTATCAGTGTATTGTATTTTTTTAGGATTACCCAGAGGCTCTAGGCCTGTCCGGGGATATCCTACCCAAAGAAATTTCATGCGATCTTCGAATAAAGTTTGAATGAATAAATGATCGGGAAAGAGTAAAGCGAGGGTATGTTGTTGCAAAATAGAGCAAAATAATGGCAAGATCAAGACACAAGTTCATTCCTTGCTATTCGTTGACAGGAATAAAGAGCAGTACACACATGCATGTGCACGCGTGCGCGCGCACGCACACTCACGCACGCACACACACACACACACACGTTGGGTTGTAACATACAAGTAATACTGTATGTGATGTGAAAGGTGCCTGGGAGAAAAGAGTAGCAAAAAGCAACAGTTAGAGGGGAATACAGAAGATAATTATGCTGTGTTGCTGATATGACTGATTTTGCGTGTTAGACTGCGGCTGGGAACGAAGGGTCGGAAGCGCTACTAAAGTTGCTCAGATACTTGGAATCACAGACACACATGACAGATATAGAATAAAGTGGAACTCTACAGGCTAGTTGCTGACACATGTACCCTGTTGCAGGAAGACTGGCCCACACCTGGGCACTCTACTGTTGAGATGACAACAAGCAGATGGAGACACAATGGCTAACCCATCATACCTCGTACAAAGTCATTGTAATCGATTTGCTGCTTGAAATCCTTGTCAAAGTGATCACTGAGATGAAACAGCTCCTTCTTGGAGATCTCAATGCCACACAGGGAGAAGACGGTGCGTAGCTGATCCAGACTCACATAACCCGTACGCAGTGGATCTATGCGCCTCAGACCGTGCACAAGGGGCTTCCACTGACGCTGCAGCTGCAGTACACAACACAACAACAACACAATTACACGTACCAGCACATTTACACATACCAACACGCACACACACGCGCACGCACACACACACACACACACACACACGCACACACACACACACACACACAAACAGCACAAACACAACAGTCAGGCACGAGGCAGTACGGATTATACATCCCCCATCTGAAGGTTCGCAAAGTGGTCAACTTCCAATGCTCCATACAGCTCTCTAGCGCAGCAGTTAAAATGGTTTGTTGCAACTTGGTTTTCACGCTGAGTAATCATCAGGAAAACGTAGGTTTGGTTCGCTGTTGTCACCAAGGCACGGCTTGGTCACGGCCTTCATGGCCTGCCACATACATCGACAAAATACACATGCACGTACATGTATGCCCGACATGACATCATTATGACATCACAGGCCAGGGACAGCAGAACAAGTACGGCTGGTCAGGCCATGACCGGACCAACCGGTTGACCACCAACACATATTCACTGCTGTATCCCCTCCATAATGACAAACAAAGTACGAAAAACTATGGTATGGCCGCACCAATCGAAAACTGCTTCCGTAGATATTTGTATTTTTGTATTTTATTATTTTACTTGGGCACTCCCAACAGACCCTAAGGGCTTCTTACAGGGTGCTCAAGCTGAATGAATGTGTTAAGTTCCTGGCGAAATGAATTGGGGATATGACTTGTGCCAGTCTTGCAAGCCAAACACGAACAGCGTTACATCAGCAACATAACGGTGCCATACCTTTCTGCGGAGAGCGGCAAGAGTGCCTGGCAAACCCTTGTTTGGCTTTCCTGCTACGGCTACTGGAGGCTGAGGACAGAGAGAGAAGAGCACAAATTCATGACAGTTGGTGAAGTGTGTGAAGCAGTCTTTGCTCTAGTATTTCAAACCAACCCGGTACACGTGTACCTGGCACAACTCTTCCAACCGGGTCAGAGCCGGGTACGGTCAAGTGCCGCTAGCCTACTGCAAGTGCATAAGGGAGCTGTAAATATGTTAGGACACCCCGGTTACAATGTATACGTGGCATATATATATTCCCAACCGGGTCACCAAACGGGTCCAAGTACCACCTAACCAGGTCGCTGACCTGGCTCCGGAGCAGATACTATGAAGACATCTCAACCCAGAGTGACAACAGGAGATTGAGTAGCAACAACAGTCATGTATTTACACACACTCTCTCAATCCTCAATTCTCAATCTCTCTCTCAATGCTCAATCTCTCTCTCAATCCTCAATCCCTCTCTCAATCAATCCCTCAACCCCCCCCCCCCCTCTCTCTCTCTCTCTCTCTCTCTCTCTCTCTCTCTCTCTCTCTCTCTTTCTCTCTCTCTCTCTCTCTCTCTCTTTCTCTCTCTCCCCTGCAGTTGTAGCCAGCCAAAAGGGCAAGATAGCTCCTCGGTAAAACAAAAAACTTAAAAACGACTTGTCCCAACTTACATTGGTATGCACAACAACAGTTCCATCATATTGGCTGAGGAGACCTGACATGTCATTGCCTACACGATAGGTCTTGTCTGACGGCCTGTACGGGGCTAGGAACGACTTGTAGCTGATCCTGTACAGGTACACAAACACAACAGGAAGATCAGGGGTGGAGCTCGTACACCTGGTGTGGTGACTAGTATCTGCCAGACACATCTGTGGTGTGGTGACCATAGTACGCGCCGGAGCACATGTCCGCGGTGTGGTGGATATGTACGAAGGGCAACCCCATAGCTCCAATTTTGCCTATTTTGACTACTGTATAAGTACAAATTTTCGTTTGGAATTAACTTTTGCCATATTCGTCAGGGGCACGAAATAACTAAAGTTTGTACCAAACTAAAGTTTTTTGTCTGAACGTTCGGGGTCACAGACCGCGACCAAAAACGAAATTTAGTACGTAACAAGCCTGCTGGTGGAGCGATCTAACGAAAGATTTCGTGAAGAAAAATTTGTACTAACTTATACAGTATGTAGTACCTATGACTGGCGGGCATTTGCTGGTGTGGTGACGGGACTACGCTGACTATACACGACCTACGCACCTGATGATGGTCTGTACGGAACTAGGAATGACCTGTAGCTGATCCTGTACATGCACACAGGTGTTGTAAGCCAATTTCATTCCTGCTCCCAGCCCCGGTGCCATCTCCACACATAGGCAATTGACGGCATTGGGGAGACTATTTTACTACGAGTAGACGACGGAAACACAACTGCACATGACGAACGCAGGGCGAAGACTGCTTTTCACAACACAGCAACACGCGCACATGCACCAACACCACGTACACATGACGTAAATGAAATAATGTACTACAACACAGGCAAGAGGACAATGATAGAAACGTGACAGCAATGACAAGGTGAGGATACCTGTCGGATCTATTCTGATGCTTGTAGCCAAGCGAGGCTGCTTCCGCTTCGGTCAGGAGAGGGCAAATACACTTCAGCACCGACTATCGACAGAAAGCATGTGAATGTACGCATCCACAAACAAACACACACACACACACAACACACACACCACACCATGACATCACATGCCACATAATGACATCACACATCACAGTGCACCTCATGCAGGCCAGCCGGAAGACCAGCAGAACCAGACTGGTTGGTCAGGCCATGGTCGGACCAACGGTTTGACCACCAATGCATGCTTGCCATGTTTACCCGCCTTATCGTATACAAAGTACAGTCAGACCTCGCTTATCCGGTCTTCCCTTATCCCTCGCCATCGAGAAGAAAACCGGATACCGATTTACAGCACATGTCATGCACACATACAGTATGTGTGTTCGATTTCCAGTTCCCTCGCCTACTAATATCCGGATAGTTTAGTGGAAAACGGATGTGCACGGTTAAGCGAGGGTTGACTGTCTGAAAAGTTGCGACACGGCCGGAGCAATCAAAAACTGCTTCCGGCATCCTGTCATGCCTCTGCAGTGCATACTCCCCATCCCACAGACACACACACAGCAATAGAGAACCCAGTGAATGACCGTACCACAAAGTCTGTCATGCTTAGCATGCCCGAGTCCATCGGATCTTGTTCAACAAACTTCTTCAGAACTGTGTAGTAGGCCAGGGTCAACTACAACATTGCACACAGACACATACACACAGACACACGTACACATATACACACGTACACACAGACACATGTACACACGTACACACAGACACACGTACACACAGACACACGTACACACATACACACGTACACACAGACACACGTACACATGTACACACGCACACACATCGTTAGTTTTTAAAAATATATACACCAAACATCAGAGAGGAGCATGGCTTGGCAGCACTGATACGTAGGTACACAGTGATACGTGCACAGTGCTATACATGTGTAGCATGCACAGTGCACACGCACGCACACACCACACACACAGACACACACACACACACAGACACACACACAGACACACACACGCACACACACACACACACACACACACATTCCAGCTCACAACCACAGTAGGTGTCATCTTGCAGTCTACATGTGTATGTGCACTCTACTCAGCACTACATCTACATACTGTAAAACGAACGAATCTCCAAGTCTAATGTTTTAATGACCATTTTTTTCCGTTATTTGAAGAAACGTTATCGCGAACCCGGTTTGAGATGTCTGTGTAAAGATGTGCATACAGATGGGTGGCCAGGCAGCCAGCGTTAAACTTTCTCCACGTTATCATGCCAAAATTACAAAAACGTTAAACTTTTTGGCCGTTAGACTTTCCCGTTTTACAGTACTCGTGTACTGGGTATGCAGTGCTAGTGCCGCCAGTGCAGCAGTGGAGTGCTGAGTTGGACTCAACAGCCTTGTACACCAACGCACACACACAGACAGACATCCTAGCATATTGCAGGTCCAATTACGCAATGTGTTCTTTTCCTAATGAAGGGTTTCCATTCGTCTTCGCAAGCCCTTTCTTCTCTTGAGAATCGACAACTACCCACGTTTGTGTTAACTGGAAAATGTCCAAACCTGGGCGAAGAAGGTAGATACGAGTCTAAGCGAGTGGCTTCGATAAGACGCTGGAGGGGTTTACTGCCCAGTACTAAGGAAGGACTTCATACTGATCTGTGCAATCCTAGGGACCTTACCATAGATCTGAGTCTGTCCATGACAATATCTTCATCGCGGTGCAGCTTCTTAGAGCGCATCAAATAATGATCATCCGTCATGTGCTTGCCGACAGCTGTAGCACACCATAATACAATTGCATGTACATGTATGCACACACACACATATACACGCGCACACGAATGCATGCATGCACCCAAGCTCAAACACGGGCGCGCACACACACACACGTACACGCACACACGGTGAAGTCATTGGCATCATGACAGTGTGAATAATTAGGTTACATAAAGGTAACACTCTGGTTAATCCACTGCTCGTACAGTTACTATACTTCTGGATTACGAGAATTATTTATTTGTGTCTTGTATTACATGAGCTCTTACTTTGCAGCTGATTCCAGCCTTGTGAAACAGATAGCCGAATTCTCCGCCGAGTTCTAGTTCCCTAGCTTCTGTAAGGATTTTCATTACAGACTCCATTCTAGCTTCGAAGAGATTTCTATTCAAGTGCATTTGTTCTCAAACAAATTCTTTTATACTTACACACTTCAGGCTCTTGAACATGTTGAAGGTTTTCACTAGTATACTTTCATGCCTTATCATCAGGTGAAATACTTCCTATATGTATGGGTCACGCATTTGAAGCTGTTGTTCTGGCTCTTCTCCCTTGCGCTGTTTCTATCACCTCTCTACTGTACTTAATCCATTGTCAGTGTTTATTTGATTTTGCCTGCGTTCTACCTGACCCTAAGCCATGCAAGTATACTAGTGGAAACTTTCAAAATGTTCAAGAGCCTGAAGTGTGTCCTACTTCTAAGTATAATGGCATTCTTGTCTCCAAGGAAACTGTTCGCTTATTTAAACGAATTCTTTGTATGATCAAGAGGGGTAAGTAGCAGCATTCGGCCTTGTCCAGATTCTTATCAACCACCAACCAGCGACTATCACTACATGACTGTACTCTCACTAACACCCTCCCCCCCCCCCCCCCTCCCCCCCCCCCGCTTTACATTACTAGTATCCGCGGTGTAGTCTATCAGTATCGCCTTTGCTTAGCCTTAATCTTCGCGCCTAAGATGCGCCATTATGTTTCCCCCCTTTTTGCGCCTAAGATGCGCCATTATGTTCCCCCCCTTTTTTTCCTTTTTTTTGTTGCTACAAAAGGGTGAAGTTCACTATCTGTTAGCCATTCTACATTATCAACCTTCACTGACGAGATCCTGATGATCGAAACAGCTGCTGTCTGAAGGAGCAGAGTACCAACTGAAGTGTCGTTTTGCTGATGGTGTGCTGTGGCAACGCGTTGAGGTCGGCCGGAGAGCGCAGCGGTGTGGTGTGCTGTGGTGTGCTGTGGTGGTTGATAAGAAATTCTTCGTAGTAATTAGTATTTACTGTAGTCTGGCACTCTACTATTTGTTCGGCTCGCGTGTGACTTTCCTTCCTTTTTCTTTTCGACATGTACGACGTATGGGTATGATGTGAGTGTGCATGCACTCTGTTTCATGACCATGTGACTGCATGCACTACTCTGTTTCATGACCACGTGACTGCATGCTCACGTGGAACTACACTACACTAGTCTACAGTAGGCTAGTGCATTTTAGCGACTGCAGCGATCCGCTCTTCTTGTTGCAGCGCTGTTTCTTCTTCTTCTTCACCTGTGTCTTTTCTTTGGTCGCTGCACTAGTTTGTTTTGTATGATTAGGCCACACGTTTTTATATCTATGTTTCTCGTCACCCGCGCGCATACGATTCAGGAGTCTGGAAGAAAAAAAGAAAAAAAAACTGTGCTGCACTGACTGTGCATGTGGGGACTAGCACACTCATGCACATGTACATAACGTGGCCTGGCCTGCGCAACACATGATGCAAGGACGGCATGTTTGTGCGCAATCTAGCTGCACATGCACAGATTGTGACAGAAGCTCCTACCACATACTAGTTGCTAACTATGGATGCTATTTTGCATGGTGGTGTACGGTGTATTGGTGGATTTTAGTGTGAACAAAGGTCTAATAAACTTTTTTTATTTTTGGGTCATTTTTTATTTTTTTCCACCTCTCGCATACGTTTTTAGATTTTCAGGTGACGAGAAACATAGAAATAAAAAAGTGTGGCCTTACACGCCGATGGACGACGTGGTCGCTATTTAGGCTGCGTTCGTTTTTAGCTACCTGGTAGAGTAGAGTCATTCTACCGATAGAGGTAGAAGGTAGAGGTAAGTGCATGAACGCTCTCCTACGGGATTTAGTAGTTTTTCACGATATGTACGTGAAATCTTTCTCTTCTACTAGTATATGGAGTTATGTACAACTCCTTGATTTTTCAGGAAATCCCATACCTCTACCAAGTTCTACCAACTTCTACCAGCTTTTTTTTCGGTAGAGCCGGTAGAGAAAGGTAGAATCTACTCTTTTGAGTAGAAAAAAAGGAACGTATCTACCGAAAGAAGTAGTTTCTACCCAAACCTGTACATCAAAAAAGAACGCCCCCTTAATGCATGTCCTTTCTCCTGATGGATTTTGGATCTTGTGGAAAAAGAACAGATTCTTTTCTCCAAATTTTCTATCATTCCATATTTTCCAACTCTCTTGATTCCTTGTTGTGGCCTGGTGTGCAAGCGTACTCAGTACTGGAGTGCTGGCTGGAGTGTAGTAGTTTTAAGTAACAATGCGGTGCCAAAACCCGCTCCGGAGGATACGAGTGTGGTTTCGAACTGGAATTTTCCTGAATTCGTGAAGTGTGTCAGGATGGACCGTTCACGTGTAGTGTGTGTGTGTGTGTTGTTTGCTGAGCACTGGTAGAGTGCTGACCAAGCGTGCTGTTGTCACCTACTTGGTAGTCGATGCCTCCTAGACTTAGGAACGCTCGAGGAAGGGGTAGCACACCGACAACTCCGCCGGTGCCTGGACATCGCGATCGTGACAGTGAATATTTGTTGACTCCTGTGAGTCCTGAGGATACATCCGTGGTATCCAGGCCCAGTGAAGTCAGACTCAGTGGTGGTACTGATCATACCAGTGTTAGTAGTATTAGTAGTGACAGTGCGTCTTCTGTCACCAGTGGTATGTCGTCACTTAAGTTGGATGGCTTCGTAAAGCCGTATCGTGGCCGAGTGGACGACTTCGACATGTTCTGGTCGAAGTTTGAGGTACTGGCCGACATATCGGGTTGGACGAATGCGGACCAACAAATGAAACAGTTGCCGCTATTCTTGGAGGGCAAAGCCCACCGTGTGTTTTCGAAACTAAGTGATACGGAGAAGCGGGACAAAGACGCAGTGCGGAGCATCCTGCGGAAGTCCTTCTGTGTGAGCCGCAGTGAGGCGTACCGCTTGTTTAAGCAGCGGCAGCTGAAAGTGGACGAAAGTCCAGACATGTATGTAGCCGCTCTGTGCTGTCTTCTAGAGCTGTCTGGTCATAAGAGCGACAGCGATACAGATCTGGTGGTGATAGAGCAGCTGTTGGCCGGACTACCAATGGAGTTTGCAAAGGATGTCCGTCTATCCATGGCAGGCAGGGACCTGAAGGATTCCGAATGTCTTGACAGGATCCGGGCACTGCGCTCAGCAACCGGCAGTTGGTGCAGTGTCCGCAGCTGCCACGTTTGTGAACGACAGTGTTTCCACACCATCACCGCGGCTATGTCACCATTGTGGGGAGCCGGGCCGTTTCCAAAGGAATTGTGCGAAGTGTTCCGGAGCCGGGAATGGTGCGAAGCAAGTGCACGGGCGCAAGGATCCATTCTACCACTTCTGTGGTAAGAAAGGCCATGTCAAGAAGGACATTGCTTGGATAGAAAAAAAGTGGCTCGAAATACAGGCTAGCTCCGAAGTTGCTGGGGCCTCGGTGCAATCGAAAGACGTGTGCCTCCTGGCGAGACCGGCACTTTTCCGCCTCCATGAGAAACCACACACATACACACACACACATACACACAAACACACACACACACACACACACACACACACACACACATGCGCACACACACACACACACACACACGCACGCACGCACACACACACACACAGCAGCCGCACTACTCAGGGCTGGGCCTTGAAGCAACAACACACTACAACAGTTTCCAGTAGGCAGACTTACGTTTGCCCTGCTTCTGAGGCGGATTGGGCGGGCAGAAGTGGCGGATGAACTCCTGGAAGTCCAGAGTGTTGTTAGCGGTTCTCAGCATGGTGGACCAGAGACGCACGACTTCAGACCAGGACAGCTTCACACCAATGCTAGGGTAGAATAACAACAACAACAAACACCACAACCAGTACATAATACAGTAAGACAGTTCAGTGCACTGGAACCTGGATATTATATGCAACATACTATGAGATATAATACAGAGGCAGTGTGCATTAACCTGCAATAGTGCTCAAATGCCCGGAATGGGCAGAGCGTAGTATGTTGTCTGATGATTGGTTTTTTGCCATGAAACTCTGAGTAACAACGAAACAGCTCTATTTTACTTCCTTTTGTGTACCTCTTGCGTACTATGAGATATACAACATGCTATGAGATAAATCTTTTTTTTTTTTCAAATCTGGCGCGAGATACACACAGAAGTACGGTAGTACGATTTCTCGAGGGGAGAGTTGAAAATTCAACCCCAGGTCAAGCACAATGCATCATGCAAACGCTCCAGTCAATCTGTGTTCATGGCGGCTTGAGACTTGACCCGGGTTGAAACGCCTCGTGTAAAACACAGCCTCACTAAATAATTGTCTCCACATCGATTATTCATTCCTGGGATATAAAGTTCATTCCTGGGATATAAAGTACTAGCTTTGACAACCTTGCATAGTGCTTTGCCAGTCATTTGACCTTGGACATACAGCACCTCAACTTTAAAGTACAGATTTTACGACTCTGTCAGCTACTGGTGTCATGATTACAGTACAGTACTCGGCAGTTTTCGGGTTTTATTAGTTGCAGTAAACAGTTGACAGTTCGTGTGGGGTTTTTTTTAGGACGGTTTTGATATTTCTGTTCTGCCTATTCTGCAGTTGCATGCGTATGTGCACCTCATTGGCCCCGCTTGTTCCTCATTCTTCATTCCATTTGGCTTAAAAGCGAAGACTAGCCAAGCCTGCTTGTGGTGTTTGGTGATGTCAACACAAAAAAGAAAAGCCGATAGAGGGATAGCTCAAACAAAAGGTATTGATCCGTAGAATTTGCGTGTGAATTCTTTTTGACTACCATGCATGGGGTATGCACGTTAGAAGATTGCATTGAAATTCAAAAAAAATCGAAGACTTGGAATACACATCAATAATTTTTCACAATCGGAAAACACCAATTTCGCCGTTTCCTGTGATTCTAGGCTCGTTTTTGGCAAATTCTGATAACACCATGCCAATCCAGCACTCTCTGCTCATGCCGTGATAACAGGGTCACGACATGTAGCTGCCCGTACGCGATCCGATCGAGCTGGGGTGAAAATAGGATTTTTTGCGAAATTTGTGACAATTACCTTGTCAAAATTTGCTGTCCGGAACTACTGGACACAATGAGCAATGCAAAACGACGTTCTAGAACATTCGAGAGAGTTCTTCGCGGCAATCAATTTGGACGTGAAGGCAGTGCGAGTACACAGGAAGAGAAGGCCGTTGCGGATCATCGAGAACAGGCGATCACCACTAGAAGCAGTAGTTCTGAGAAAATTGCAAGATTTGAGTTTTTCGACTTGGAATGTGGACATGGACAGCAGCTCCGAGTCAGAGAGCGATGCCGGTGATTCTGACCACCAAGAAACTGGCCCAGCAGGTCCAAGTGATGGTTTTTCTGGCGTTGTGTATCGATTTATGAGCTTGGGCCTCCTGTTCGTTGCGATAGTACTTTGCTCGTGTGTGTGCAAGTCATGCAAGAGTGGCAATGTGATTGTGAAGGAGGGAAAGCGTAGTGGCCTGGCTGCGACAATTACCATCTCGTGTTCAGAGTGCCCTGATGAAGTTTCTTTGTCAATGTTGCCCAAGCTTCCAGGATCTTTGGCCCTGATGCCGATGCAGCAAAAAGCTGAGTGTGTAGGACATGTACAGAAGCGTGTCAGGCACCGGCTACGTGAACTAGTGAAGAAACATAGTGGTCGTAAGCGTCCAGGAAGAAGTTGTCTGCTGGCTCTACATAACTGCTGAAGACCAAACCCGGAAGGAGGACCACGAGCCAGTCTGTTCAGCAGATTACTCTGGTTCTGCTCCAGGTATGGAAAGCACTGCTGCTTTACACCTTTGGTCAAGAAGCGTAGCCTTAGATTTGTAGAGAGCACATCAGTGATGGTGATTGCAAAGGACATTCCAATGTTGCTACTGCTATACCACTTTGGTCAAGAAGCGTACATAGACGCAGCCTTACATTGGCGATGGTGATTGCAAAGGACATTCCAATGTTGCCGCTGCTGTACAACTTTGGTCAAGAAGCGTAGATAGACGCAGCCTTACATTGGCGATGGTGATAGCAAAGGGCATTCCAATGTTGTTCTTGCTGCTGCTGCCCCATATGGCCCTGATGTCGATATAGTCAAATCTGAGTCTGTAGGCCATGTACAGAAGCATGTTGGGCACCAGCTACGTGAATTAGTGAGAAACATACGACCAGTAACAGTTAGTGGTCGTACGTTACGTGACGGCAAATCTATCAGCGGTAGTGGACGCCTGACAAACAAGCTCATTGACTCCTTGCAGAACTGGTATGGAAAGGCGATAAGAGAGAATAGTGGTGACTACGGTGCTAAGCGGAGAGCAAATTGTGCCTCGTTTCGTCATCGTGCATCCACTGATGAGAATCTCCGTCATGAGTTCTGCCCAGTTGATAGCTGGTGTGGCTACCACAAGGCTACTTCTGACAAGCCGTAAAAACACCACAACCCTATTCCAAAGACCTGATGGTGCCAGCGTATCGTAAACTTGCCGACAAGCAGCTGCTACTGAAGTGCAAGAAGGGTGCGACACAGAATCGCAATGAGTGCTTCAACAAGTTGGTATGGTCGTATTTGCCTAAAACGGAGTTTGCTGGTAGATGTGCTGTCAACATTGCTGTTTACCCGGCTGTCATTCATTTCAACCATGGCATTGGTACTTTCGAGCACATCCTTCGCGAAATGAATTGCCCTGTTGGAGACTACACCCGTTCAGCCTTCACCGATCTCGATGTTTCACGCATGGAGGACAGTCACGCAAAGTGCAGTGCAGCAGCGAAGTCAAGGAAAGAGACTCAGGATGATCAAGAAGGGCTTGGAGGATGAAAACGTGGAGACTGAGGAGCCAGCTTATGGGTCTGGTATGTTTAAAGTGTGACTGGATATTACCAGTATGCAGGTCAGCCCAACCCAAGCCGGCACAACCCAACCCAGCCCAAACCAACCCTACCCAGCCTAACCCGGCACAACCCAGCCTAACCCGGCACAACCCAGCCCAGCCCAGCTCAGCCCGGCACAACACGACCTGCCCGTGTTAATCCAGCATTTGTTTAAAGGCCTGTAGGCCCAGTATCCGGCAGTCCAGCTCAATGCTCAAATTGGCCAGTACATGTAGCAGTTGTAGCCTGAGCAGTAACATACCGTAACAGCAGACCCTGCAACATGGTCTGTGTTAGCTTGCCAGTGTTCTGAAAGTCCATGTCATGGAATGCGTCAGTCACAGTGGCCAGCTGCGAGTGCAGAGACTTCCTGATTTGACGAGTGATCTGCAATACACACAACCCAACATACCAACATGCCCATCATACCAACACACCCGCAACAGCAATAGGGAAAGCAATACGTGCATTAGTGGAGATAATGGTAGCAGCAGCAGAACCACCACCACCACCACCACCAGCAGCAGCAGCAGCAGCAGCAACAGAACCACCACCACCAGCAGCAGCAGCAGCAGCAGCAGCAGCAACAGAACCACTACCAGCAACAGCAGAAACAGCAGCAGCAGCAGAAACAGCAGCAGCAGCAGCAGCAACAGTAGCAGAAACAGCAACAGCAGCGGCAGCAGCAGCATAACAGAGACATCGACCAAGAGGATCACGACATCAGCCGCCACACAGGGAGAGCTCACAGTGCTACATACAAAGAGCCACCTCTGCAACCTTGCAACATAACCCAGTTGCTGATAGTTGTTGTCTTAGCTGAGAGCAGTCTGCAGCCTTATCATGACAGGATGGAACGGAGTCCACAACGAGCAAAAGCAACAGCACCACCCAGAGCTTCAACCAACAATATCAGCAAGGCGTATGGACAGTACGCAGGGCACTGTTGTGAAATAAGGAGACACTCCATACAGAGAAGCGTCTCACTGTCTTCCTTACCTCATTGACTCTGTCCGTGCTGACGTCGCTCCCGTCCACAACCTGATTCATCTTACGAAAGGTACACTGAACACTGGAATCCAGAAACACCAGCAACAACAGCATCAGCATCAGCAACAATGTCAGCAGCAGCAAAGCAACACCAGCACTCGCACCAGCATATACATCTAATGTGAATGATGTCATGATGGTGAGTCAGCGGAACAACTTATGGGCGCCATCAAGAGTCTATAATCGCTCAGAGTGCGCAACTTCACTGATCAGATCTGGGACGGCGAAATCCGTGTTGCACGTCATAGTGTGACATCACGAGTAGGCCTGACACACACTTGATATTTCTGTGGTGGACTGCGTCGACGGAATGACGCAAGTCCGACCCAAAAAATGACGTACATCAAGGAATACGCTGTCCCAAAACCCCATCCCAGTTGCGCACTCTGGAGGGATTATGGACTCTTGGCGCTATATATATACACAGCGCGAGTCGCTATTGCAATGCTGTGCCACGA